TCCGTACGTATCTCATCATCCCACCACAAAGTATTATTTTTCCTTTCATTCTTTCTTTTACTAACACCACATACTTCGGTAGCTGCATCTACTAAACCTTTCTTAACATTTTGCCATACATTCTCCAAGTCTAACTCATTCATACATAATTCATCCAAACCACTTACGTTTTCTTTCAGTCTACATTTAAACTTGTTTTTCTCACCTTCATCTTGTAATCTTTCTCTTCTAATACGCTGTAACGCAGTGGTAGACACAGATGACCGATGGCGCCACCGCCTGAATAGACCATTAATTCGGCATAAAACCAAAAAATGATCCGTTCCTACGTTTGACCCCCGGTAAACCCTTGTATCCACCACTGCGCCCCTCAATCTTTCATCCACAATTATGAAATCTATCATGCTTCTATCATCACCTCTTTCCCAAGTATACATGTGAATCCTCTTGTGGCGAAAGAAAGTGTTCGTCACAAAAAGATTCTTTTCCATAAATACAGTGAGGAGGCTTTCACCATTCTCATTTATACTTTCATCACCAAACGTTCCCAATATCCTTTCATAACCAAGCCTCCTCACCCCAACTCTTCCATTAAAATCTCCTAGCATAACAACATTTTCATTTCCCTTACATTTCATTAATACCATCCTTACCATTTCCCAAAATTGCTCTCGGATATGAGTGGCCTTAGCCATGTCTGGGGCGTAGACCCCTAGCACAAACAACTTCTTTAAGCCCACTTTCAATCGTATCCATAGCAGTCTTGAGCTTACACATTCATACTCTTTCACACATGGCACCATTCTTTCTGATAGGATGATACCTACTCCCTGGCATGCCCGCTCGAGCTCGTCTACACCAGACCAGTATGCGGTATACATGCCATGTGTAGTGACATCCTTCCACTTCCGTTTCGTCTCATTTACACATAACAAATCTATTCCTCTATCATACATCACCTCGCATACTTCATCCATTTTATCATTCATTGCTCCACATACATTCAACGTAGCCAGACGGGCCTCTGCAATCCACTTTTCGCCCCTCCGGGAGACAGAACGTGACGGGTGGCGAGCCTCGTCACCGGTTTTCCTCCCGGAGATTCTTCGCACCCCTGCCCCATTAAAGGGGCGCCGGGAACTCGGGGCCATTTCTTTAATTTGATTCCTCATGGTGCGAATGGGATGGTATATTTAACGCCGCTACCACGGCGAGGAGCCGAGTCTGTGCTATCGGCTTGTCGCTCATTTAGCACCACCCGGGGGGACACGTGTAGGGTGGGCCTAGGATTAGGTGGTCAAAGCCTACGGACGCGAGCGACTTATCCCCCCTATAGTATGTGAATACTGTGACCCATAAATATCTAGATTATCATTTAGCATCTGTAATACAGTTTTCAATATAAAACTAGTACAGCCGCTAACGATCAACCATATCCTACTAGTATATTGATGCCTGTAATCGTAATTAATATGGAAAATTTTGTTACACGTTTTTCTGAGAATAAAAATCTTATTTTTTTTTATTATTATCATTAGATTATCCTTCAATCAAAATAAAAATGCAGATATGTTGTCACCCCTGAGGAGTTAGATGGAAAGCCTTATAACCCATTCTTACGTAATATTTCGTAAGTAGAAATTTAATATTGGAAATCTAGTTCCATTTCAGATGTCGAATGTTTTCTTCATTCTATAACGTACACTTCGATTTACATCTTATTTTAATCTTTTTACTATTCACTTTTATCCATTTTAAATGTTGTCCTTATAATATATAGAAATCAATTGCTATCATTTAGTCTCGTAAAAACTCGAAAATGGTTAGGTTGATTTTGATGAAATTCTTTGCGTGTGTTTGAGTGGCTTTAGATTCATAATTGAACCCAGTAGGTGGCGCGTTGTCGAGATCCAGAAATCGCCGGTGCGAAGCGGTTTGCTAGTAAATAATAATTATATTACATTCTTCCCGTGTATTAAGGGGAAATATTAAAAATACTACCACAAATGGCTTAGCTGATAAAGATCCTCCTTTATGGAGAAAATATTGCAGCATTAATTTTGAATTAAATATGTGGTGAATTTGAGGATTAATGTTAAGTAATATGTTAGACGAAAACACGATTCCGTAAAATTATCTCGATATAAAAAATCCAAAGTTACCTCCAAACTTAACGATAAACCGCTGTTATTCATAAAATACTTTAAATTAGATCATGAAACTTTGTATACTAACTGAATTAACTATAAATCGGGCCTTATGTTTTTTATTTATTTCAATTACCATTATTTTCACTGTAAAAAGAATTTACCTAAACTATCGGCATCTTGAAGCTTGTTTCCTGCCGCCCGGTCAGTTCACAGAGTACTTTGTGGTCATCATATGGGGTTAATATAGCGCATCGCCATATTATATCTCCGCGCGCTATCTCTCCGTAACGCATAGCGCGTGCTATGTAAGTAGTCGCCATGCCGCTATGACGCTAAGACGCTTGGGCGCTATTCATATCAAGTGGCAATTAGTTCTAACCACATAACACTAACACCCTTAGGCGTTCTAACAGCAGCGCTATTGGGAGTAGACGTGTAACGCAAATTTAATCTAGCAGCACGCTATTCATCGCACGCGAATTAATTTAGTGTTATACGTTGTTTAGTTATTGTATATTTATAAGTGATCGAAGGACACAGTTGTCTGCTACAAAAGAAGCCTAACTAATGTTTTTAAATGTAAATAAAATATAGATACAAAAGTGTATATAATATTGTTTGTAAATAGTTGATTTTTGTATATACAATCAATATACTTTTAAATAAACCTTTAATTGATTTATAATTTATATTAAGGTTAAAATAACGTTTACGTCAATTATAATAAAAAATGATTAATTTTATTTTGTTTTTTAGAAGTACATGCCTTAAAAATATTTTTGGGATTATAGAAAGTAAGCCTGAAAAGAATGAAAGAGCGTTTATTGATTTCTCTTTACCACTTTATTTTATTTTAATCTAAAATGCGACTTATTACGAAATAATGTTCTTATATAGCACTCGGTCTATCCAATGAACGACACGTAATGTAGCGTGATCCGAGATATAGCGTGCTGCTAAACTTAACGCGCTTGCCGGCCTCCTACACGCTTTCTTATAAATAGCGCGCTATAACGTAGCGTATTTTATAGCGCGCTAGAAATTTATAGTTTATAGTCTGTAGCGTGCTATTGATTTATAGTCATTTTGAACAACTTTAGGTCAGTCTCGCTTCGGCCTTTGAAAGGAGAAGTTGTGTCATTTGCTATCAGAATACACATTACGCAACAGGACGACGTAAAATTAAAATGGAAAATAACCGTAATAAAAATAAGAAGCGACTGGGTTGGCGTAAAGAAAAAGGCATAAATATGATAAACCTAATGAAATAAGTATCTAACGACCTATCTACTTACAGTATTAGTGATTACAAACATGTCGGTACATAGCATACGACTCGCGGGGAAGTGAGGGCGAAATTAGAATTTGAGCTGAGTTACTATATCCCCTTAATCTAATCTAAATAAAAATCGTAGAATCTTACGTAAGAAGAGGGAGAGGGGTGGGTCGAAAATCTTATGTATCCTTATATAGGGGTAGGGAGGTAAAATCATTATTAGGTAATTAAGAATGACCCTTAAGTATATTATGTATATTATTCATATTATATAAGTGATTAATGACAGAGTAAGCGAATTTATCATGTGCTTCCTCGTTTCATTTATAAGAAGAAATATCTTAAGAGGCGACGGTGGGAACCTAAACCTTCTTGATAACAACGTAAACAAAATACCGAGGTCAATAATTCGCCTGCTAAGCGTAGTAACCATGGCAAAGATGAGCCATGATAAAAAATATTTATTTATAATAATACTTATGACTTGATTTTGAAATAAAATTGTGTCTTAAAAAATATTGTGTATATGGTGACCCTGCAGGCGTACGGTACAGATGTACATTATATATTTCTGTTCTTCCTGACTAGCGCACGTTATGCGAGTTATTTAAATCGACAATACCTAAGCATTAAACACAGGCAGTTAAGGTCCTAGCTTATAAGTTGGATTGTTCACAGTTTACACTGTAAGAAACCTGTTAAAATTACTTCGTATTGCCACAATCGTGCCTCTTTACACTTTAACCATATTTTTATTACATATATAAAATATACAGTATCGATTTTAATGAAAACCGCAATTTCATTATGCAAGCGTGGATCGAAATTGGCTTGAAGTCGAAGCGATGTCATTATTTTGTCTTAAATGCGCGAAATAGCTTACGTTAGTTATTTAGATATGAATTTGGACACATACAACAATCAATGATTATTGTGGTGACTACACAGGTACACTTTCAAGTTTCAAGTACGCTAGAACGCAACACAGAAACAACTTGACTTGATTATGGTCAGATGACTAATTACATGGCTTCATCTATGCAGCGACGTACAGTATGGCGGCAGGTGCGCCTTTTGTTCAAAGTATGATTGCATGATGGCCGGGCGTGAATCTCTTTGTTTTCGGCTCAGCGGCCATCTTTCCTGACCCCCACTGTGCTCATGCACCGTCAACATAAAGTGTCTGCGAATGTAAACTATTAGAGAAATCGACGAAACAAATAATTTGATGTTGATATAAGTTTCAAATTATTTTGATCGCTTAGGTGCCTTATGAACTTGAGTAACTGTCGCCATCTACTGTTCGCTGGATTGAGCTGAGCTGAGCAATGTGATGCATCAGCATATTGCGAAGAAAAAAATCTATAAAGATGAAGATCCCGAATAAAATGAAGACGTGGCTTAAAGGACAAGCATCCCAGCTCAAAAATCTTAATTAATAAAAATAAATTTATAAGTTGTTGGTGTGGGTAGCTGGTAAATGATTCCTAAGTTATCTTTTGTTAACCGTCGTGCTGGTCGTGATCGGTCATCAAAATATAATAAAAACGGTTAAATACAAGTGTTATATAGACATGGACAAAGAAAATATATCCGCCTTCCCTAAAAAATTATTACTCAAGAAAATTCAAGAAGTTCCGGTAAGGGAAGATAATAGAATTCCACTTAAAACCATTAATAGCTTATCAGGTTTGCCAGCTGGATCTAGCACGGACCACGGTAAAGCAGTATCAAATAAGACTAGAAGTACATATGAAATTGACTCAAAATACGTTACTTTTAGACAAAGAAACGAAGACTTCGACTGGGACTATAAAGTTATTAAAGACGAAGCAAACAATAAAGACTGTAGTATAATTTCTATAAGTGACGAGGAAGGAAGATTCATTGAGAGTGACAAGAAAGAATACAATTATTTTAATGAAAATAAACAGAAAAATGTTCTTGGTGAAGCTAGTAGGGCGGCTATTCCATTACATAAATCACCTCTTGAACCGAATAGGGTGAGGAATATAAAAAAAAGTTTGAAAAGACCGCACAGTAGAGAGTTACAAGGTCTTTCACCGGTGGTACATCCAGAGAAAAAAGGGGAAGAAAAATGCAAACGACGTTTAAAATTCAACGAGCGTTTGAGTGATAGATTACAGTCGCCGGATATTTGTAAGTACCTACATATCATATTATTCATATACGGGTTGCGCTAACTGCGAGGGCGAATTCAATCAGGCAGTTGCACTCGCGTTTTTAATTTTTTTTTATGAGTTGTATATTTTTGATGAAATACAAATAAAACAGGGCTTATAGACTTTTTACGATGAAGTTAATATTTTCAGAGTTATGAATTTTGGACGGTTTAAAAAGTCCAGAATTCAGATAATTTTAACCCATTAAAATATATAAAGAAAAAGAATAAAATATAAAAAAATTATTTATATTCTTTGATAAAATATGAATAAAAAGGTCCTATGAATTTTTACGATTAAGTAAATATTTTCGGAGTTATAAATATATATTTAAATTGTTATAAAATCTCAATAAAGATATGTATTAAAAATGTTTTTTTTTATTCTCGCTTAAGGATATTATCAACTACTGTTTAAAAATAAAAAATAATTCTTTAATATTTCATCCTTTCTACTCTGATTCCACCTGGACATTGAAGTTTGAATCGGTGCCGGCATATTAGCAGGCTAACATGCTATTTTATCACGTGCTCAGTATTGAAGGAAAGCCTACATATCTGAAAAATAAATAAAATTATGTCGAAAATATATGATTTACCGTAAAATGAACTAGAACTACGTTTCCTTTCCGCTGCAATACGTGCTCAATAGTCAGGGTAGACTTGTTACCTAATTGGGCATTTAGATGCTTCTTTAATATTGTACTGTTTTTTATGAGTAAAAATTCATTCGTAAATATTTAGAATATTACGTATTACATACGGCTTGACTCACTGGAACTGCGAAGAGATGTTGCATCTGTTAACGTATTTTATCGCATCTACTACGAGGAGTGCTCTGAGGAATTGTTCGAACTAATTCGAGCCGCACAGTTTCACTATCGCACATCGTGAAACTGCGACCACCACTAAGCGATTTAAAAGAAGTTTCCTTCCTCGCACAACTTCCTTGTGGAATCGACTACCACCAGAGATTTTCCGAACCGATACGACTTAGGGACCTTCAAGAAAAGAGCCTATTCCTTTTTTAAAAGGCCGGCAACGCATCTGCAACCCCCCTGGTGTTGCAGCTGTTCATGGGAGGTGATAATCACTTACCATCAAGTGAGCCGTATGCTCGTTTGCCCTCTCTCCTATAAAAAACATATTAGTCTAGTATTAGAAATGTTGGTACTTTCTTAAATTTTTCATGCCTTGACCAAAGCTGTATTAAGGCGATACCTCGAAAATTTGGTGGTTTTTCTATTTTATATATTTTTTAGGGTTTTATAGATTACAAATCAAAATTTTGGTATATGATTTTTGACTATATGACCTTGGATTGCATAAAAGGAAAACACGATATCATGAAATTTTCTCGATAGAAAAAAAAGTCCAAAGTAGGCTCTAATTAGTTACATTTTTCCATGACACCACAATAATTTTTCGAATAAGTTCATGGAATTATTTTTAAGGCATAGTAAATAATCATTTCTAAGTTGTCATAAACCATATTTTTTAATTCATAACGTAGTTTTGTCAAAAAAAATGTTGTTTGACGCTTACTTAGTTTTGTTTCGAGCGTGTGCTCGGTATAGCTATCTCATAATTTGCGTAATAAGAAGTCATTGCATCACTTTCATTTTGAAACCCTTAGTCGTCCGTGAGTTTCACCGACAAAGGAATAAGCCACGCCAAAACTACGATCATCAAGGTATCCTCTTAAGAAGTTGTATCGCAGAATCTTAAAAATCTCTATAGAATATATATACGCACTGGAGCAGAGAGAGTTTCTTTTAAGAAAGTTCTTATTTCTCAGAGACTTACGGACCATTTTCCTAAAAATATTTTCTTTCTCTTTGCAGTTGTGAAGTCATACACGAAGCGCATCGAGAGTGATTACGTTGATGATCTGTTTGCCCATTTACTAAGTATTGAAAGACCTGTATCCGTGCCTAGAATACCCAGCATTACTCGTGCATGTGTCCTTAATTGGTTATTAAGAATTAACGTAAGTACTAAATTGACATTCCCTAAAATAAAATAATTTTTGTGTGTAATTTTCTGTTTTGGTGGGGAAGGACTACGCTCGTACAGAATACAAGCGTGTATATATATATAATAATAGCAGCTTAATGCTGCTGTGTTTTGTATAGTGAGAATAAAAAACCGGAGATCCGTTTTACTAGTAACAATACTAAAGTCCTAAGAAATGACAACGCGTAAACAATTTGATGTCAGGTATACCTCAATCTCTGAAAACTAGATTGTACAACCAGTGCGTGTTGCCAGTGATGACTTACGGATCTGAGACGTGGTCCTTCACTGCTGGCCGTATGAGGACGCTCAAGGTCGCTCAGCGAGCTATGGAGAGGGCTATGCTCGGAGTTTCTCTGCGTGATAGACTCAGAAATGAGGATATCCGCAGTAAAACCAGAGTGACCGACATAGCCCAAAGGATTAGTAAGCTGAAGTGGCAATGGGCCGGCCATATAGCTCGAAGAACCGATAACCGATGGGGAAGAAAGGTTCTCGAGTGGCAGCCTCGTACCGGTAGGCGTAGTGTAGGGCGACCCCCCACTAGATGGAGTGACGACCTGGTAAGACATGCAGGAAGTCGATGGATGCAGGTGGCTCAGGACCGTGCTTTGTGGCGTTACTTGGGGGAGGCCTATGTTCAGCAGTGGACTTGTGAAGGGCTGTAATGATGATGATGATGATGAAACAATTTGATTCTTACTTGAGGATAGATGTAGGTATCTATGACCCATAGGATCCACTTACCATCAGTTGGACTGCGTGCGCATTTGTCACCATTATTCTCTAAAAGAAACTTTGACATAAAATAAATATATTTCAAGTAAATTTATATTGAACACATGTATTTGGAATTGTTGATATTAAGGGAATAATATATTTTATACTATTTCCTTAATTAGGGGTGTATTATAATTGCCTTGCTAGGTAGGTAGATGTAGGCAGCTATTTTATAAAAAGTCTGTGTTGATAAGCCGGTAAAGTGCCCACTACTGGGCATTGGACCCTGTCATAGTAATGTAATCATTTGTCTCAATTACCAAGCTTGTAAGGGGATTTGGGGATCACCATACAAGACTACCATCAAACTGCTCCCAGTCTCTGGTCCGTATATTTTATTTCAAAGTCAAGACGTTTTACACGTGTTTACAGTCCTTTTTGTATTCATAGAAAAAGGGCTTTGTCGCTGAAGCGATTATGACGCCCTGGTACAACAAAATTCTTAAATAGGATAAATACTAACAACTAAACTTATTAATTACTTAATCTCTTATTTACTAACACATATTTTTACAGTCTTTGTGAATGTCAGAATCTATACTGGTTCAGAAAAATAAGACCTTCACAATAAGAACCGGCAAGAAATTCTGGAGTCTTTTTTTAAGCTTACAATTTTATTTATAACTATCTGTGCCCACAACTTTGTCCGCTCAGGAAGTTTTACTTAGATTGTTTTAAAGCTGACTAAGTTAGTAAGTAACTCGGTGTGAAGCTTAATTACTTTAGTTGTTTTTTTAATTATATATATACACTACTATTCTAATCCAATCAAATATTAAATGTATGGTATGAGAAATTTAAATTAAATTAATTTTACTTGAAGTTATTTTAAAAATTCATCTCAAACAGAAACAAGTGCAAAAGAATTGTATTATTTGAACTAGAATGTAACTGCACTTCAACTATTTTACGTATTTTCAGTGTTGCCATATGTTTTTCAATAATGCATGTATAAATCTCAAAAATCTGAGACTTTAACGCTTGTCAGAAATTTTTTATTAAAATACAACGAGCATGTAACATTGGAAGTTCTTAAAATAGATATAATTTGAACACACGACCCCAGATAGAACATAAAACCTGCCTATATTTACCTTAAAGTACGGCAAAATAATATAGCCTTTAAGGCATGATAAAATGACATTTCATTGAAATAAAAAATCCAGTGGAGGGTTCTATTAACTTTGGCTCCTATGTACTTTATCCCACAAAGTATCTTATTATGACATATTTATTTTATTACTTATACATTCATTTACATAACATTGAAATTATTAAAACATGTGAACAGTTCGCAACAGACTAGTTTTTTTTAAAAGTATACATAGACAATCATACAAATCTTATATAAAACTGGCATAGTACCATAATTAATACAATATAGTGTCTACATTGCACATGAGATGGCGTTACTAGTAGCAAAATACAAATAAGAAGTACTTTTATTATTTTGATACATTGTTATAACACCCCCACTTATCAAAATAAACCAATAAAATTATTTTGGTACAATTACCAATTACCGCAGAAACTTATAATGTTTAACAGGACATAAACCTTTAGTGAGAATATCAGCTGTCATTTCTTCAGTACATAGATATAGGATATTTATATATTTACGCTTAACAACATTTCTTACATAATGATATTTCACGTCAATATGTTTCGATCTATAGTGACTTTGATTATTTATTGACAATTTTAATGCACTTTGATTGTCACAATAAAGCTCAATCACATAAAAACTACCTATAATTTCATAAAGAAGATTTCTAAGATACACTGCTTCCCGAGCTGCTTCAGATAGAGCAGTATATTCTGCCTCTGTACTGGAAAGGCATACATACCATCTTCTGCTTCCTGCTTTGCCATGAAATAGCAGATCCAGACATTGTGAAGCAAAAGCCTGTATATGACTTCCTGTCTAAAGCGTCACTAGCCCAATCACTATCTACAAAACCCTGTAACTTGTTATCATCCTTACAAAATCTTAAACAATAGGTTTTCGTATATAACAAATATTTTAAAATGCGTTTAGCATAATGCCAATGTGTATGATTATAACCACTATTAAATTGGCTCAGATAACTAACAGAATAGGATATGTCTGGCCTAGTTAGTACAGCTAAATACATCAATGATCCTTTAACTTTTGATATGGAAGATCAGGTACACATTCATCAGCCTTCTTAACATTTAATTTACATTCAATTGGGGTTTTATATGTTTTACAATCTGACATATTGAATATAGAAGCTAACTGTTCAATATATTGTTGTTGATCTAAAGTTATTACATTCTTATTTTTATCTACATTTATTCTCATGCCTGAATATTGTTTTACAGGTCCCAAATCTTTTAATTTAAATTCTGCACCCAAAACATGTTTTAAATTATCAGTTTCAAGAGAATTATTAGAGAAAATTAAAAAATCGTCAACATATAGGGCCACAATAATTTTAATTTCACCCTTTGTTTTTGTGAACAAACAAGGCTCATACTGACTACCTATTTATGAAATCCAAGTTACAGAGTAAATCTTTGACTCTGTCATACCACGCAAGAGAAGATTGTTTTAATCCATAGATTTTTGTTTTTTTAGACACTTTTGCTCACAAAACCTTCGGGTATTGACATGTAAATAGTTTCTTTCAAAAAACCATTTAAAAAGGCTGTAGTTACATCTAAGTGATCACTACTCATATTCCACTTAACACTGAGAGCAAATAATAATCTAAGTGTGGAATGTCTTACAACTGGAGAGAAAGTGTCTGTATAGTCAATGCCAGCTTTCTGTGAAAAACCTTTAGCCACAAGTCTAGCCCGGAACCGTACATTATTGTCCACATCAAACTTTTTATTGAGTACCCATCTACACTTCACAATTGACACATTACCTGGGGGGGCAACGAGCTCCCAAGCATTGTTGTCCTCAAATTACTGCAGCTCGTCGGCCATGGCACTCTTCCACTGCTCACTCTCAGGCCCCACGAGAGCCTCTGAGAACACGATCTCCTCAGATGCTGGAACAGTACTGGAAAGACACATATAACCATACCAATCAGGTTTTTTTCTGGGATGCTTACTAGACAAAACATGCTCCTGCTCTGGAGTTGATGTCATCTGGGCTTCTTGTACTAAGTCATCTGTAGTTGAGGTTTCAGTCAAAGTTTCATTCCCATCCTCATACACCGAAGAATCTGAATGGTAGTCTTCAGAGTCTAAAACATTCTGCGATGCTTCCCCCACTGAATTTGCATCCACCTCCTACTGTATGCTAACTGCAGATGGCTCTTTGTTAGGAACCCAAATAGCCGACTCCTGACGTATTTTTCGGTACCCAATTCTTCTTCCATAAGGATAAAATTTCTGCTGATAATAAGATTTTTCTTGACAGGATTGTATAATCTGTAGCCCGTAATACCATATCGCCAATCACCATAGCCAGCTAATATGTAGGCTGTGCTTTAGTTTACGGTCGCACGATTTTCGTGATAATTTTAATTTTAATAGGTAGGTGACAGGTCATTGAAGTAAATGCTAGAAGGATTTTCTGCGGAAACTTATAGTTTTCGAGAAATTAATTTTTTAAGTTTTATAGGTTAACTACTAGGAATAGTTAAATATAACTTTTATGCGTGTACTTTATAACATGTCGTAGGATAATATGATGAACAGATATCTAGGGTAATCGCGAAAACACGGCTAGTTAGATAATTGTTCTAATCATTTCGACAGATTCTAAAACCGAATTAGCACACCCCGACTCCACGTAGTCTTGTCTGCCCTACCCCTAGAGTGTTTTTGTAAAGCCGTAGGCGCGGAGGGAGAGCAGCCCCCGCCCGCTGTAGAAAATCGCAGTCACCCGTGCGAGCCGTAGCGGCTGAGGCTGGTCGCCGAAGGCGACCAATAAGCCGAAGCTGCGGAGGTGAGCATGGGTGACTGCGATTTGCTACGCAAGGGCGAAGGGGCTGCACTTCCCGCAGCGCCGAAGATGTTACAGAAGTAACTTTTCTTTTCATTTTTTATTCTATTATCACAGAATTGTTAGGCAAACAGGAAGTATTTAATAAAAATTAGTGTACAAAATAACATATTATTAATACAAGCAACACACACATTAATAACATATGATCTATCGTGTTTTTGCTCGATTAGCGCATCCTCCTATTATATTCCTATTAATTCATGGTAAATAAAGTTCTTAGAAACATTTAGATATCAGTAATATACATATAACTACATAACAAATATATCAAATAATTATAGTCCTTACGAGTATATAAATAGATTACTGAAATTTCTTATATAGTAGTAAACGATACTTAGTATGCATAACGATATCAGTCGTTGTAATGGAACTACGTTATTACAAAGTCAATGAACGCGTTCGCGTATTGGCTCTTTTGTTTTATTTGTGCCTACATAGTTCTCTATATAATATATATATATATATATATATATATATATATATATATATATATATATATATATATATATATATATATATATATATATATATGTGTGTGTGTGTGAGTTCAGGCCAGAACAAAACTGGTGACACGTTAGGTTTGGTAAGAATTGAGTCCGTTGAACGTAGATCAGCCCCAGAATCGAACCCCTGTAAGTAAGAAGGTCGAATGTAAAGCGTCAGACGGGGTAGAGAGAAGATTAGAGCCTCCTCCCCACTTGATTTAAACAAATACCATATTAAATTAATCAATATAAATATTTTATAGGTTAGGATAGATTTTTTGATATATTTCAGAAACTATACGTTTCCGCATCCCCCCTCTTTTAGAGGGGGGGTTCACCACTACCCCCCCCACCCCCCCAACCACCTCTTCACCCCCCCTCCGCGTGCGACCGTAAACTAAAGCACGACCCAAATAAACGTATGTGGCTTAGGTCTGGTTTTTTTAATACCACAATTCATATGGAGTTTTCTGAAGTCCCGATGCAATGGATCTATTTTTAAAATAGACAGCAGTGTTCGCGGCTTCTGCCCAAAATCTTTTATCAAGCTTTGCATCGTACACATTAGACATCACTAGCCTTCTCAATCACAGTACGGTTAGCTCGCTCACGTAGACCATTTTGTTCAGATGTATAATTATTCGATCTTTGATGAATTATGCCCTCTTGCTTTAAATAATTCTCAAATTCTTTGTTAGTATACTCTAGTCCATTGTCTGTCCCTATTATTTTTATCTTTTTATTTAACTGATTTTCCACCATTGTTTTCTGTCTCCATCACAGACTAGATAGACAAACCAGTGTTGCCAGATTTTTAAAAAAATTCTTGGTTTTTTTGTACGGTATTGTCGATGGCTTGACCCTTTTATCTGTAGTAGAAACAGCTAAAATCTGTATTAAATCTGTATGCAATTTAAACTCAAAATCTGTATAAAATCTGTATTTATTACCAAATAAACATTTTGAATTAAATAAATAAATTAATTTAAATCTATCGAAATTTAAATCATATCCACTCTACTTTACCAACGCAATAAAACAATAAATTTAATTGCCATCTTTGACCTTGTCACTTCGCAGGGTCACAGGCTAGGAGGGACATTATTTGGATTTCGATAGAATTCATTAATTCATTTATTTAATTAATTTTTTTTTTGTAAACCATCAGTGCCATAGGCTTCTACTCTGTTCACATGTTACATGCAATTTTTTCCAGACGGTAAAAAAGATTATCCAGTACACATATTTTATCAATATTATAAAATACATTGATATATATGACGCTTGTAATGCACCCATACTAAATAATTACGTTGTGAAAAAAATAAATTAACCATAAAGAATAGAATCATGCAATGATGTGCTTAACGCGGTATCTAGTCATATATTCTGCTTTAAATTCTGTTTTAAGTTGTATTATTATGATAATTCTATCAATGGAGTTAAAACTCTGTATAAAAATCTGTATCCAGTGTTAATCTGTATTACACACCGAAAATCTGTATAAATACGGAGAAATCTGTATATATGGCAACACTGAGACAAACTGAAGTTTGTCTCCGTCGTCTTTCTTCTTATTTGGCAACGAGTGACCGCCATATTTCTTTGGCTTAGTGTTGCCAGAGTAAAATTTATTTCACGCGGCAAATGCAGCTTCGTTTCCGGCGCTGTTATTGTCACTGGTCATTTCCATGTCAAGTAATTTCGACTTTATGACATCTGCAATTATCAAAATACCCGAATGTTCAATTGCCATGATCATGGATGTATAACGATCGGACAAACCTGCTAATAATAGTGAGCCAACCATTTCGTTTGTTATTGTAAAGCCCGTGCCATTTAACCGCTGTGCTCTCTCGACCATTTGAGTCACATATGTCGCCATAGAATCACAGTTTTCTAGTCGTATAGATATCAAATGTCGCAGCAAGGTTATTTTTCTCGAGAAACCGGAGTCGTCAAACATAGTCTTCAACGTAGTCCATAATTATTTTGAGCTCTTGGTGTTCTTAAAATGTACGTACAACGACGGGTCTATAGTATATAGCTTTGCCTTCGTTTTTGCATCTTCCACAAGCTTAAGTTCAAAATCTGGCGTCGGTTTGATGTACTTGTCCATCCCTTCGAGCACCAACAAATTTTCAACCGCGAAACTCCACACATCATAGTTCTCTCTTCCTTTTAATTTAGGAACACTGGCAATATAGTTCGTAGTCATGTTTCCGCGACACAACTTTCACTATAGACGATAAAAGATAGCTTGATCTCTGCGACATATGTCAAACTGACATTCCTAGGGTTGTCAGGATATAAAAAAATTGTCGATAGAAATTATCGATGTTTCTTACTATTATCAATGCTAATGTAACATATAATAATTGGGTTTAATTTAATTACAAACGTTACTAAATTAAACGAATATTTTTAATATAAAATGCATTTATTCCCTTAAAGGAGGGAATGCAATCCAGCACCCAAAAGATAACCTTGCAAATCCGCAAGATTTAGACCATCAGTCCCACGGATCCGCAAGATTTGCAGGATTTTACCTTTGACATGACTTTTACCTCTTTAGCTGCTTTAAAGTATTTTGTTGTGAATGCTGCTGAGAACAGCTTGTACTGCGGTTTCAGTATCACTAACGCTACGTACAGATTCCTCTGTTATCTTATACTTCGTACGCAAGTGTACTTGCAGGCCCTTAGTAGATCGAGCGCTTATTTTGATAATAGAAGGACAACGTTTACACATAGCAGAAAAGCCATCTTCCGATCTTAAGAAGTGCTGCCATACAAATGTATTACTGTCGTATTCCTTATGAATTACTTTAGCATTCATTTTTAAGTTTACAACTTTACTTATAGCCAATTATTAATTAATTAATTTTATTTAGATAGAAAGTTGCGGTTCAAACATAAAAATAAACCGTTTAAATTTATTTCAATTTAAATCTCATGTCACAAAGAACGCACTAGTACCCACGCAGTACGTCACGAACTCACGAATCAAAACTGAAATAGTGCAAGCATTAGTAGAGTATCGACAGATATTTTGAGGAATCAACTTTTGATAGCGGCACTAATTAGGTCGATATGCTCATAAAGTATGACATTGACATTATAACTATCTATTTTATAACAAAAAAAAACTGATAATTACGGGATAGGCTCATAACCTATTAAAACACGTGAACGGTTCGCAACAGACTAGTTTTTTTTAAGTATACATAGACAATCATATAAATCTTATATAAAACTGACATAGTACCATAAATATACTTATTACAATATAGTTTCTACATTGCACATGAGATGGCGTTAATAGTAGCAAAATACAAATAAGAAGTACTTTTATTATTTTGATACGTTGTTATAACAGAAATATATAGGTACAAAATTAAAAAAAAATAAAGAACTAAAAACTTAAATTATCATACAGTACCAATTAGTAGACTCCCTAGAATTAGTAATTCATTTATGGGGCAATATTTATAAGCACAGAAATCTAAATAATAAGGTACTAGAAATGCCTTTTACTGTCTTTTAATATCGGGACGCGTGTCACCGGTTCGCAGCTAACACACATAGACAAACAATAAATACACAATTTCGCCTACATATATCTCTAGCATTCATGCAATAGAGATTAAACTTTAGATTATTGCGTTAAGGAATATTTTATAAAACGCAAAATCTCAGGAGGCGTAGCCACTTGGTCCAATAATTAACGGATGCGAAAAATAGAGAATTACATTGCGCGCTCACACTCACTTGGGCATAGTGCAGCGCAACGCACGTTGCGTAACTTTCTATTAAGCGTCGTTGATCATCCAGGAGTCTCACACTAAGATATAACTAATTAATTGAAAGTGTCTCAGTAATAGACGATTTTAGTAATAGACTGAAGTGGCAATGAGCCGCCCATATAGCTCGAGGAACCGATAACCGATGTGCAAGAAAGGTTCTCGAGTGGTAGTCTCGTAATGACAGGCGAAGTGTAGGGCTTCCCTCCACTAGATTGAATGACGACCTGGTAACACATGCAGAAAGTCAATGAATGCATGTGGATCAGGAACGTGGTTTCTGGGAGGCCTATGTTCAGCAATGGAATTGTGAAGGGCTGTAATGTTGACGAATGATGATGATGATGAGTTACCGTATCCATTTACTATTAGGTCGATGGTTATATAAAAAAAGAAAATAATTGTGACCTTTTTTCTAAGATATTCCAATCGGCGGCGCGGACCAACGTCAAACGTGCGATATGTATTGTGAAATGGTGAAAGGTTTCGACTTATTACAATATGACTTCTCAACATAGTATAAATCAAAGTCATTTCACGCCGTCCGTATGCTTAGATTTTTAAACTACGCAACGGATTTTCATACGGTTTTCATCAATAGACATATCGATTTAATAGGAAGGTTTATATGTTTAATACATGCATATTTTGTCGAAATTCAAAAATCATCCGTGCGAAGCCTGGTGAATCGCTAGTTTATAAATAATTTCCTATTTCTATTTAAAGGGATCTGATGGCAATCCAGCGGTGATCCAGACAGCATCTTGGTATCTAGACTCGATCTTGAGCATCAGTAGCGTTCAACTAGAGCAGTTGCAGCCGGTTGCAGCCGCTTGCTTCTGGATCGCTCAGAAGCATCATGGACCAGTGGCCTCCGCTTCTAAGCTTATTAAATGTGCAAAAAGAGCCTTTAGTACAACACAATTATTGAGGACCGAAGAGGCGATCTTGAAGAAATTGGTATGTCACAGTAACTACCCTTGCCAGCTTGACTAAGACTTACCAGACTTTAATTTAAACTTCTACTTTAATAATTTTACCTTTTTTTTAAATTTATTACGAATAAAATATCTACAATTAATAATACACATTAAACACAGCGCAAACCACTGAGGTTTAGTTACTGTGCTTGAGTTCGCTATGCTTAAAAAAAAGAAAAGAAAAAAAACAAAGTACGACCTGTGGTTGGTGTAAGAGGCGACTGACTATATATTTTCCACCTGTGAGTGATATAAGAGGCGACTGTATTAAATTCTGGAGATATCTTATGGCTTATGACTATGGTGGAACACAATCTCAGTTATGTAAAACATAACATACTTAGACAGGCGAAGTGGATCAATGTCAAAGGCGCGAGACTTCTGGTTCTACCATCGTCACTTCGCCTACTAAGCGTGACGATTAATTATGGCGAATTTCGCCAACAATGTAAGAATGTTCCCATGTTCAACAGTGAACTTTTAAGGGCTGATGAAGAAGTAATTAAGGTGTACTGGGGTAATTTCGACGGGAATTTTTACGAGATGACTAGAGGTCTATATTTCGGTTAGTTAGGTAAAGTAGCTTCATATTTACTGACAATAGTATGCGACTTCTGTTAACTTAATGAAAATATTTAATCTATGGATATATTAGATTCATAACTATGTAGTTGGATTCACTAAATAGAGCATTTTGAATTGTTGCGTTATAATTTTTTGGTATAGGGGAAATTACGAACTATCTTGGGGTTATTCCAAAATTATTCAAAAGTTTATTTTATTGTACTTTGACCGAAGAATTTACATTTCTTTTTCAATCGTATTTAACCCTTACACAAAATATCATGAATTTTAGTAATAGTATCGCTAATATCATTTTTTATGGTCTTGTATTTCGGAGCAAAGAAAAGTATGAAAGCAGGTAAGGCAGCTGGATATGATAGAGTATCACTCGAGATGCTAAGGGCTGGAGAGGGAGTGGTGGCAGGCCTGCTGTACACCTTGTTTAATTTATGTTGGGAATTAAAACGGGTACCGGATGACTGGTGTAAAGCAGTTATAGTACCAATATATAAAGGAAAAGGGTCACAGCAGGACTGCAAAAACTACCGTGGTATCAACTTGCTTAGTATTGTGGGTAAACTGTATGCTAAGGTGTTAATTGAAAGAGTTATGAAAGAAACTGATGGAAAAATTTGGGATGTGCAAGCGGGTTTTAGAAAGGGAATGGGGTGTACAGATCAAGTCTTTTCCATGCGCATGATTGCGGAGAAGTTTTTGGCCAAAAACCAGAAAGTTTTTTGTGCGTTCATGGACTTGGAAAAGGCTTATGACAGAGTGGACAGGAATGTGTTATGGCAAACACTGAACTCATATGGGTTGAGCGCTGGTTTGATACAGGCATTAAGGTCTCTTTATAGGGACTCTAGTGCTTGTGTCAGGATCAATGGGGTCTACTCGGACTGGTTTGGCATCCAAAAAGGTGTCAGACAGGGCTGTGTAACTTCCCCTTGGCTGTTCAACCTATTTATGGACAACAAACAAAACAAAACAAAGTTTGCAAACACCTGGTTTGCAAACTTTGAAAGATGAAGAATGTGGGTTAAGAATGGGCGAGTTAACCGTCAAATGCCTTTTGTATGCCGATAATCAAGTCACATTTGCGTCATCGGCGGCTGAGTTGCAAATGATGGTTACATTAATGAACTGGGAATTAAAAGAAAGGGGAATGAAAGTGAACGCAAGTAAGACGAAAGTGATGGTTTTTGAAAGAGAAGAAAGAAAAACGGTATGTGAAATAAGAATAAAAGGAGAGTTAATTGAGCAAGTGGATGAGTTTGTGTATTTGGGATGTGTATTTAGCAGGGATGGTAGATATGATAGGGATATAGAACGACGAGTAAATGCAGGGAATAGAGTGAATGGGGCACTACACTCTATTATGAAGAACCAGAATGTGTCCAAAAAGGCACGTATGGTAATTCATAATGCTGTGTTAGTCCCTACTTTAATGTATGGTAGTGAAAGCTGAGTGTGGCAGAAGAAGCACGAAAGTAGAATAAATGTTGTAGAAATGCGGTCTTTAAGGAGTATGCTAGAGTTGAATCTGAATGACAGGGTGAGAAATTGCGTGATAAGAGATAAATGTGGTATGCAAGATGATGTTGTGATCAGCATTAAGAAAGGAATGCTTCGGTGGTTTGGTCATGTAGAAAGAATGAATGAGGAAAGAGCGACAAAGCAAATTTATATGGCAGATGTGAACGGCCGAGTCGGAAAGGGACGCCCTAGAAAAAAGTTTATCGACCAAATTGGCGATATTTTGAAAAGGGGCCACGTTAGAAGTACCCTTAACCGACGAGCATGTATGCGTAGATATATGGATATAAAGGAGGCGAAAGAGGTATGTCAGGATCGTGCCAAATGGAAGTCCATAGTCTCTGCCTACCCCTCTGGGTGACAGGCGTGAGTGTTTATGTTATGTTATCTATTTCGGAATTACCCCTAGAAGAGATTGTGGTTCTCAACATTTCAATTAAGTTTTTTTGTTTGTTCTCAGTAATTGTCACCCAGTTTATTGCCAGTAATTTTATTTCCACTGGTGACAAACGAGAAAAAATATCACAGTGGTCATCGAAGTTGCCGTAGAAGTGAGTTGAAAATAATTGATAGTTCTGACAGATCTCTGCGCGGAATAGAACAAGTAGTATAAATGATTATATAATTTAATAATGTTGTTATGTTTTAATAATTTAAATTATTATTATAAATTAATATTATTATTTTAATCCTGATAAAAATGAATAAAATGACTGCGGATTATTAAAAATTTGTACATTACCAAAGAGACAAACATGTTGCTTTTAGCAGGGGTTAATGCTTTTATGAAATTTAACGGTCAATTAAGATAAGCTGAAACTGTAGATAATTGAAGAAATAAAGCATAGGTAGAGATTTTTATAAAGATACCTTTTATTCAGTGCTTTTTGCAAAATAAAATAAACTTTCTACATATATTATTGTCTTACACTTAAATCAATCATCCTTAAAAATGTTAACTCAAAGTAGGAACTTACGGTCACAACCACCATTTTCATTTTCTTTTGGTATAAAGTACTTAAGTACTAACCTTATCAAATAAAAAAAACTTTGCTGCTAGCAAAACTAAAATTATAAAATGCTTTAATTTTTTTTTAAATATAACAAAATTGGTTAGGACATTGTAAAAACATCGCATCTATATAATAATGATATAAAATCACTGTTACATAATCAGTCAAAGTAAATTGTATCTTCATAATTAAGTAAGTAATATTCTTTTTCGTTATATTTTTATAAATCTATCTTCTTCACTATTAATGATTTTGGAACTTTATTAATATCCTTTCTTTTAGTCGTTATAAAGGTAAGGCGCTGCTGTGGTCTCACGGTTTTTAGAAAATTGATAGTGAAGTATATTTCTTCATTTTTTTTATTATATTTTCTAAGAACCCCACAAAATACTTCCATTTATTCCTTATCAAATATCTGACGAGTACTGAATCATTTAGTTGGTAATTTTCCTTCATAGCAAGGTTCTCTTCTTGAGTCTCGCATATTATTTTTTTATTTTCCTGTACACTCAGTAGTAGTACACTCAGCGTCACAAAAATCGCAGCTCTCTGAGTTTGCGCGAAAAATGGCTGTAATGGCTAGAAACTAATTATATTTATATAAATTTGAAATGGGTATTTGAACAGATTTGCATTATTAATAAAAAAATCATGATATCATTAAAAAATTTATCATTATAGAGCGTCAAAAATAAACACTGTCAAATGCTCGTTAGTAAGGACGCTAGTTACACCACCTAAAAAGGGTATAAAAGGGTCGATCTGGATGAAATATGGGTCAGTCGTAATTTAGATTTTGCAGTGAACACACGTGAACAAGTAACCCAAGTAAGAACAAGTAAAGATGGACACCAGCTCTGAAGAAACCGCTCAAGTGATTGCCCTTCTTTTTTTTATAGAAGAAGGGGCAAACGAGCATATGGCTCACCTGATATTAAGTGACTACCGCCGCCCATGATCAACCGCAACACCAGGAGAATTGCGGGTGCGTTGCCGGCCCTTTAGAAAGGAGTAAGCTCTTTTCTTGAAGGTCCCCAGGTCGTATCGGTCCGGAAAAATCGCCGGTGGTAAACTATTCCACAGAGAAGTTGTACGTGGAAAAATCTCCTTGTGAAACGTACAGTGGTGGACCGCCAAGCATCCAGATGGTGTGGATGGTATCGGGACGTTTGCCGCGTAGTGCGTTCACGAAATTTGGCGGCTGGGATTAATCCGAACAATGCCTCAGAGCACTCGGTCGTCGACGATTCGAGCCGCTCTGCGCTGGATGCGGTCAAGTGAAAGAAGCTGGTACTGGGGAGCCCCAGCCCAGAGATGGGAACAGTATTCCATGTGCGGCCGAACCTGCGCCTTGTAAAGTTGCAGGCGGTGTGCCGGCATGAAATACTGTCCCGCTCTGCTGAGCACGCCAAGCTTTTTAGAGGCCAATTTGGCCTTCCCTTCCAAGTGACCACGAAACTGCACGTCACTCGATATGTCGACGCCGAGGATTCCGATACTGGCTGAGGCAACAAGGGGAGTGCCTTGAAACTGAGGGGATACGACAAAGGGGTTCTTTTTAGCGGTTAACGCGCAAACTTGTGTCTTCTGGGGGTTAAACTGGACTAGATTTAGTCGCCCCCCAATCCGAGACTCTGTCCAGCAGAGACTCGACTTCAGACACAAGTTTGTCCCGGCACTCGGAGACGTTTTCCCGAGAAATATTGGCTCGGCCGGTGTAAAGAGCATCACCAGTGCTGTCATCTGCATAGCAATGAATGTTACGGGTACGCAACATGTCATTGATATGCAGAAGAAACAGCGTTGGCGATAGCACACAGCCCTGTGGAACACCAGCATTAATAGGCTTGCAATCGGAGCTTGCACCGTCTACAACGACCTTGATGCTCCGATCTGCAAGAAAGCTGGTGATCCAATCGCACAATTTCTCGGGAAGCCCATAGGAAGGGAGCTTCGAAAGAAGCGCTTTGTGCCAAACCCGATCGAAGGCTTTCGCAATGTCCAAACTAACGGCCAATGCCTCCCCCTTGAACTCTACTGCCTCCGCCCATCTGTGAGTTAGGTAGACCAGGAGATCACCAGCTGACCGACCACGGCGAAAACCGTATTGGCGGTCACTAATCAGCTGGTGATCTTCAAGGTACCTCATGAGCTGGCAGTTTACAATGGACTCCATTATTTTGGAGAACAAGGAGGTGATGGCGATTGGCCGGTAGTTGGACGGGTCAGAGCGGTCGCCTTTTTTAGGGATCGGGTGGACGTAAGCCGTCTTCCATGATTTTGGGACTACGCCTAGGGAGTAGGAGTACCGGAAAAGACGCGTTAAAACCGGTGCCAACTCTGGAGCACACGTCCTCAGCACAATTGGGGGGATTCCATCAGGCCCACTCGACTTATAGATGTCCAGGGAGAGGAGTGCTTTGCGAACCGAGCGCTGAGTGAACTGCACTTCCGGCATGGAGCACTCACACCGCGGGATGGTCGGCGGCGTACTCCCCCCGTCATCGAGAGTCGAGTTAGACGCAAAGAAAGAGCCTAGAAGATCGGCTTTCTCCTTTGCGGTGTGGGCCAGTGAGTCGTCCTCCCTGTGCAGAGATGGAAGAGATGGCTGACAGAAATTCCCCTGGACAGCCTTGGCGAGAGACCAGAATGCACGGGTTCCAGAAGGAAGACGAACTAGTCTCTCGCCAATTCTGCCTATGTGCTCTGACTTTGCCTTGGCAATGACTCTTTTGAAGGACCTAGAGGCGGAATTATACTTCTTTTTTAGAGCGCTGGTGTTTACATCCCTGGACGCTGAAGCGTCAGCCCAGGCTCGGTAGCACTCCTGCTTATAGCATGATGCTATTTTACAGGAGCGACCAAACCATGGCTGAGATTTGCCTCCAATGGGCACCACAGAGGAAGGAATAAAAAGTTCCATACCCTGAAGTACCACATCAGCGACAGAATCCGCAACAACGTTGGGATCATCCGGCGAGAAGCAAACCCGCCCCCAAGGGTAGGATGCAAAGAAAGACCGCATCCCATCCCAATCGGCTGACCTATAGTGCCAAACACGGCGGCAACCTGCAGAATGCAACCGCGATTTCAGCGTGAGTGGCACCACACTCCGGACAAGACAATGGTCCGAGGAGCCTAAAGGGGCGTCGACGGAAATCTGATATCCGTCCGGGTGAGAGGTCAGCAGAAGGTCCAACAGGGAAGGTGCATGATCCTCCACATCTGGAATCCGCGTAGGCGAAGTAACCAGTTGTGTCAGACCATATGCCAAGGCAAAATCATGAACAGATCTCCCCGCATGATCGGTTAAACGTGAATCAAGCCATTCGGCGTGATGGGCGTTAAAGTCGCCGAGGATCACGATCTCTGCGGAGGGGATCTGCTGTAGCAACGAATCTGCAGCCATTTGGACGTGGTCAAATAGTCGGTCTGTTTCGGCATTACCGCTATGGGACCTATAGAGGCACCCGTAGACGCGCGGATGGTCGTCGCTGTCTACGCGTAGCCAAAGGATGGACAGGTCCGAACCTTCAAGTCGGGTAAGGTTTACAATTCGGTCGCCTGAATTTGGGGGTGGCGTGGGGGGAGGGGGGAGGAGTTGTACAGTCACCCCCTACTTCCACTTTTTGCCGGACGTGCTTAGTTTTTTTTTTATTAATTTTTAAAAATCTCATTTTGAGGTTATGTTTCGTAATTTTTATGACAATTTTAACCTGATTTATGGGTAGAGAGAGTTGGAGGATGGAAGCCCCACGCCACTTAACGTGGTGCAGTCGAGGGAGGTCCGGTCGACGGAGCCCCGCGAAGCTACTTCTGAGTGGTTTACAAAAAAATAACCACGAAGAGGATGACGGGGTCTATTCGCTCGCTTCGCTCGCTCACACGACCCCGTCATCCTCTTCTAACCTAACCTGTCCGAGTCGGGGTGCTCCACGTCCCAGGCTCGCTTCGCTCGCTATTGCACTCGATATAACACCAAATTATTAACTTTCGTAACTACTTTAATTTATAAACATAATTTATGGCTGCCACCATTTGTAAGAAAAGATCTTTGCGATATTTAGCAGTATTCCGCCGCCACAAATATTTCACTATTCACCAAAATTCTGAAACTCGGAAGCAACACCGTGAGGAAAAGCTGTCAACAAAATGGCCGGCATAGCGATTTAATTTTACATATTTTTAAATCGATTCAAATCGAAATTAGATGAATCGATTCACAAAAAATCGAAATCTTAAAGATCAATTTCGCAAAAATCGTTTTTTTTATTTGCGTTAAAAGTTTATATTTACGATATCAAAAGATACAATAAAGTACAGATAACATTGAATAATTAAATTAAAAACTGTCATTCTTTACGAGTTGGGGTACATTCAACCAATTGTAAATAATTTTGCAAATCTAAATAAAACAGAAAAAGATTCGATCTCGATTCTCTAGGGTGAAATATCGATTCACTAGATCGATTCAGTACTATATATCGATTTGACATTGACAGATGAAACGTCAAAAACGTAATTAAATTAGTCATTTACCAATATTTTTAAAAAATAATTAAAAATACTTCGACGCTGCTCCGGCAGAAAAAATCGAGTGGGGGGTGCTTCAGATAAACCCCCTTGACAGAATCTTCAAATTCAGGCGACCGAATTGTAAACCCAACCCCTTCAAGTCTGCCGAGGCGTCGAGAGCAGATGTCCTCTCTGACGTAAACGCAAACTCCAGCCCGAGGCACAAGGGAGTGTTCCAGTTTTTACCCCGGGTAGGAGAGATACGAGACATCAGCCGGAGAGGACACCTGCGTCTCGGTCAGAAAGAGCAGAGCCGGCCTCGCCGTCTCGAGATGGTAGTGGACGGCGTTTAGGTTAGAGTGAAGTCCCCTGATATTGCAGAAATTCACGGATAGCGTGGCAGGGGTCGCCTTGGTCTTGTTGCTCCGTTTGCCCCGAGCAGTTGTAGTCATGAGCGGAATTTTGCCCCCCCCCCAGAATACGCGGGGCAGCCTGAGCACCCACGCTCAGAAGTGGAGAAACATGGTCGTGGATGCTCAGCGAGGGATTCTCCAGGGGTGCTGGTACCCTCCTGGGGTAGTCGATCATTATTTAATTCCGCTACCATGTTGATGGGGGGGGGGGATTTGGGCCTCCGGCCACCTGCACTCACCAGACGAAACGCGGAAGCAGAGCTTCCACTTCACGCCGGTATTCTGTGAGGTCGTGGTACCACCCCGGTTTGAGCCGACCCATACGTGCAACAGCAAAGCTGCCGCGTGGCTCTACCACTGTTGAAATTATTGTAGTCGGGTATGCGGCAGTGTGACGTTGCTCGACAGTTGAACCTGTCCCGTTTTTCAGTTCGACGGGCGTTCCAACGTTTTCAGCAGACTGGTGGTTATGTTAGAAAACCGGGATCTGGAAGAAAACGGTGCACATCAGAAAGAGATGACCGTTTCAACGTTACGACATCTTTACGAAACCGTTTTACAAATGCTGTTGAGTTGCAACAACAGCTTCGATCAACTCGGAGAACATCTGTGAGTGTTTCTACGATAAGAAGAAGGTTACACGAAAAGAGTTTAACAGCCCATAGACCTGCGAAAGGTCCAAAACTTACTGCACAGCATCGCAGAGATCGCCTAAAGTTTGCTCGCAATCATTGCGAGTGGACTCTAGAACAGTGGCGGACCGTACTCTTCTCTGATGAGACGAGGGTCTGTCTCTTCTGCAATGACAGACGTAGAAGGGTCTACAAAAGACAGGGGGAGAGGTTCACACAACCCTGCTTCGAAGAATCCGTCGAATACGGGGGTGGCTCGTGTATGTTTTGGGGCGGCATTTCCGTCGACGACTGGAGGAACATGTGGTCCCGTATGCCGGTTATATCTGTGATGGATTCATGTTAATGCATGATAATGCTCGTTGCCACACCGCGGCTATTGTACGGGATTATTTACAGGAGGTCGATATCCCTGTTATGCATTGGCCAGCACTAAGTCCAGACCTTAACCCAATAGAACATCTCTAGGATGACCTAAAACGGCGCGTGCGAGCTCGAGATCCAGCTCCAACCACTCTTCAAGAGCTCCAAGATGCGGTACTTGAAGAGTGGGAACAAATACCCCAAGAGGCTGTTGCGACCCTTGTAAGGTCCATGAAAGATCGCATGGAAGCCGTTATCAAGGCAAGGGGGGGTAACACTAGGTTTTAAGAACTTTTTTTGTATTTATTAAGTTTTTTTTTAAAATTATTAATTTGCAAATTTGTACATACCCTGTCTTTTTCTTTAATTTCTCTTTCGTCTCGTTATAAAAGTAAAATTCAATTAAAATTCCTGAAAGCTAATCAAATTACCTTTCGAATGATACCCTCAAATCACAATATTGCCATTGGCCTGTTGTGTTAAAATAGTATTTAAATTATTTTTTTCGGATGTGCGATTTTTTTTGATTAGAGTGTAGTTGCTCATCTTTGTCCTTTTCTTTCGAGAATTCTCTAGTTGTCATATTTTTTTCTTTAGTAAAAACATCAATATCATATTCGTAATTTCTTTCAATGAGTCTTTCCTCTTTATTTTCTTCGACTTTTTCTTCCACTTTGTTTTCTTTCCCTTTATTTTGCCTACACCTTTACCCTTAATACAGAGAGGATTTAAATTCTTGTTAGTGAGAAAATCATTTTCAGAGTATTCATCCGTCAATTCTTCAAAATCAACACATTCAATAGTATCAGAATCACTATGTTCGCTCATAATGTAGGATACACTAGTTATGCTGTCAAGTGAAAGCTGGCGTTTTCGTTTCTTCTTATTTCTTATGCCTGAAAGGCCTGGATGATGTTCTTGTTGCTGTGCTGTAAATATTGTTATTTCAGAATCTTCCTTATATTTTACTCTTGCTGTTCTTTTTTTGTAAATTTTACTGGGGTTTGCTTTCGCTTTCTTAGCTTTTATCGTTTCTTCTAAAATTTTCTTACCCATTGTTGCTATCACTTCAGCACCTTTAATGACACGTTTCGTTTTTGTAGGTTTATTATCTTTTTTGTCCTGTTGTATTTTTCTTAAAAGCAGTTCTTCGAATGTGCATGATGGCTTGGGTAGTCGTTGAGCTTTTGAAGTAACTGTGGAGGTGCTTTTTTGATGATAACGTTCGAGATTATTTTTATTTTTTGATAAATTTTGAGTTGATGTTTGATTAGAATTCTGTAAACATATAGGTATTTGGGATGGTTGTTTTTCGACAAAACTCAAAGTCTGGATATCAGGTTTCGATACCAGAGACAACAAGGTATCCTTATCAGTGTTTGACGATTTCTGTAAACATGCAGGTAGTTGGGTTGGCTGTCTGGCCACAAAACTCAAAGTTTGGATACTGGACTTTGAAATTTGCTACAGCAAGGTGACGTCATTGGTATTTGCATTTTCAAGAGCATCATTTGTTGTTGCAAGTTGATTGTTAAACAAGCCAATACAAATTTCTTGTAGTGACTTCGGGTTTTTTGGTGTCGGTTGTGTGGAAGCAAAATGTTCTTCTAATGTCTTTTTTTGGTACCTTTTATATGCATCTGGATCATACTTGTCCACAGGTATCACGTGCGCATTAAAAGGGAAAATCCCAGCTTTTCTAAATCCACCTTTGATAATATTGGGGTTTGTTTCTCTCCAAGTATCTGCCAGCGCTTGAGCGAAAACTTTTTTTGGCATTTTCGTGCCAACATTTCTACGCTGCCACTCTACCTGTTTGGCAATTCATATTGACTTGAATGACTTGAATAATGCTATATCAAGAGGCTGCAGCAAATGTGATGTGTGTGGCGGTAGTTTAAGAATTGTGATACGGTTTCGTATTGCTAGTTCCACAACTCTTACATGGACATGAGTTGAGTGACCATTATAAACAATAAGAACCGGGCGCTCCTCGCCCAGACTTGGGATAAGAACTTTTTCTATATAATTATAGAAAATGTCTGTTTCTATCCACCCTTTAGTACTGGCTGCATACGATAATTCGAAATCGTAATCACCACCAACCAGTTCAGCCATCCACTGATCCCAAACAAATTTGCCTTTAAATACAACCAAAGGCGGCAACTTCTTGCCATTAGCGTTTGCGCCTGTGAACATAGTGATATTTTCTTTTCCACTCCCATGGGTGGACCTAGCACAAGGTTTATTTATTTAAATAAATTATTAAATAAAAAAAGAATAATTAAAATCGGTTCATAATCGCCGAAGAAATCGTGTAAAATACACACAAAACAGATATACAGTCGAATTAGATAACCCTCCTTCTTTTTGAGGTCGGTTAATAAGTAATGATTAGTAATATAGAATCATTATCTGCAATAAACCCAAGTTTTCCAATAAACTTCGAAATAATAATAAAATTTTGCATACTTCATGTAATGTCATGCAAATCATCTGATCGTACAGATTGAGAATCACTGTCAATTTCTATGGAAAAACTAAGTGGGGGTTATTGCGGAATGGTTATACATCGGAATCACCCGATAGAGAAAAAAAGGAGGGGTATGTACGAAAAAAATATTGAAAACACAGCTAGTACGTTGTTTTCCTCTCACGAATTCGCTAAAAACTACAACGTATCGCAAAAACAAGCACTTATTGAAATAATTTACCAGAATTCCGAGATAAATATGTTGGGGTTATTGCGAGTCAACAAAAATGGCGCGAAAAACACTCTTTTGACAAAACTTGATGTTAGGCATGTTGACACTAGCTTCTCACGACGACTGATGCGGCGAGGATAATCAAGATGGCGTCTAAACCAATGTTGCCAATAGGAAAATATCGCTACGATTAGTAGAATCTTTGAACTTTCGGAATATTTACTTCGGTATATTACCCTTTTTCCTAATTACCCCAGTGCACCTTATTATGATATATAGAAATAATTTTATATTAACATATTGTTGCGCGAATAAGTCAACGTCATGTATCCGGCACTAGCGCCATCTAGTGTCAGGGACGAGAGCGAGGGGAGCTTTCCAGAAAATGACATCACTAATCTTTCAACTGACAGCGCCATCTAGTCTCGGAACGAAGAACTAAGCTTCTAGAAGTTGGCACTCGAACTCTCGGCCCCTTGCGCGTGTTTACTTGAATATTCTGGATGTTTCGGTGCTAATTTGTATTTATAGGCGCTGCAAGATGCGATCGGGGAAGTATTGAATTCGGCGAGACAAGCGAAGCTTCGGAGCGAAATAAAGTGAATTAGTGTGATTAATTATTAGTGTTACGAGCTTGAGGTTCGTGACAATAAAAATTGCCGATAAAATTACCTAAATTAACACTTTAATTTACTTTACACAAATTAAAGTTAAAAACACTAATAATTAAACACACTTATTTACTTTATTCCGCTCCGAAGCTTCGCTTGTTTCGCCAAATCAACACTACTCGCTCGCATCTTGCTGCGCCTACTTATATAAATTAGCAAAATATCCAGAATGTTCAAGTAAACACGCGCAAGGTACCGAGAGTTCGAGTTCTAAACTTCAAGAAGTTTAGTTCTTTGGTTCGAGACTAGATGGCGCTAGTGCGCCGATTTTAGCGCGTAACACTGCCCCCTCCTAAGACATGCTCGTCCCGAGCATTATCGGTCCCATAATAACGCGCTAGGCGATCCACATGGACGATCTTAGGAGTCCCTCTTGCGCCTTTCTGTAACGGCTCCGCAATGTCTAGGGCTGTTCTATCCCGTGGTGCACCAACATTGTACAATTTCGGTGCTCCTCTACTACGTGTCTGAGGTCCCCGCACGGCCGCACAACTTGTACATGTACGACACCAATCCTCGACATCGTCACGATAATGGACCCAGTAAAACTGTTCTCGGACCTTCAGTAGAGTTCGTTTAACTCCCAGATGGACTCTTGAACGACCTTTATGGCACAGCTGTAGAACATTCGGCACTTTAGCTTTAGGGACAACCATTTGCAAACGACAGCTGTCCCTTCGACCATTGTCCCATTTACGGCACAGGACTCCATCCTGAATCAGCAAGCTGTCCCATTGGGCCCAATAGCTTTTCGTGGTTGAACTCATCGCTGAGACGTCCTTCCACTTAGGCTTGGTAGCACGGGCCTTCATCCATCCCAGAATCGGCTTGATGTCCAGATCTTCCTGCTGTGCATGTCGTAGGCTGTCCTTCCACCCGTTGCTGAGGTGGTCTGTTCTGAGCATCCTCACGGATACCACTTCCTTTCCTTGCCTACTACAATGGTTGCCATCTTCAGGACAAGGTCTTCTTGACAATGCATCTGTGTTGCCGTGAGATTTCCCGCTGCAGTGTCTGATAGTAAAGTCGTATTCCTGCTGCTGCTGGGCGGTGCTGTTAGCCGCACTTCCTTTCTGAGACCGTTCACCTTCCCTTCCTAGGGTGTGCTTCGGGCAGCTGGACCGAAGATGGCCACTTTCCCCACAGCCATAGCACCCAGGGCTGTATCTTCTATTGTGGTCGCGAACCGTAACTGCTGCAACCTCCCTAGCGTGAGGTGAACGACGATCCTGTCGCCGCCAGGCAGTGCCGTTAGCTGCACTACCCTCCTGATATCGTTCACTTTCCCTTTTTAGGGTTCCCTTAGGGCAGCTGGATCGAAGATGGCCCTTTTCCCCACAGCCATAGCACCTTGGGCTGTATCCTTTGTTGCGGTCGCGAACTGTAGCTGCTGCAACCTCCCTGACGCGATGGGAACGATGATCCTGCCGCACGGCTTCTACCTCCAGTGCATGGGCCAAGGCGTCCTTAAGCGTCTCGTGGTGCCCGAGCCTCACAGCAGCTCTGACTTCCAGGTCACGGATGCCGTCGATGAATGTCTGCACCAGGTTCCCTTCAATGAGCGCAGGTACAGACCGGTATGCTTTTCGCACCAGCTTCTCCACTTCTAGAGCCCACTGCTGCAGGTTTTCGTTGATGCGCTGCACACGATCTTTAAGCTGCGCACGAAAGACGTGTTCCAGGTGAGCGTCACCATATCTCGCCTCCAATGCCTCAAGGAGTTGCTCATAAGTCACTTCCTCACCGAGAGCTTCCAGGACTGTTAAGGCCTGGTCGCGTAGGCCTAGTGTGAGAGCAGTCATGGCCTGATTTTTATTCCAGCCGTTCGCCTTCATAACAGCCTCGTACTGGATTTTGTAGGCTGACCAGGAAGAGGTACCGTCGAACGGTGGCACCTTGAACCCACGTAGCGAAGGTGTTGTAGCTACTACGGGAGCTGTAGTTCCATCACCAAGTTTGAGGTCGTCCAGCGTTTTCTTCACGTCAGCCACCACGTAATCAACCCGATTGTTCACTTGGTCGATTTGGGTTTTAGCTTCCTTGATTTGGGTTTCAGCTTCCGACAGGCGGTTGTCATGTTGAGCAACCCTATCCTTCACCTCCCTTATCTCTGTCCCAAAGGTAGCATGAAGGTCCTTAATGAGGAGCATCTACTCTTCCGACCGACGGGCCTGTTCCTCCTGTCGGCGGGCCTGCTCCTCTTGTCCACCCCGCAGCTGCTCTTTCAACTGACGGACCTGTTCCTCCTGTCGGCGAGCCTGTTCCTCCTGTGGCGAGCCTGTTCCTCCTGTCGGCGAGCCTGTTCCTCCTGTCGGCGAGCCTGTTCCTCCTGTCGGCGAGCCTGCTCCTGCAGCATCACCATCAGAGCACCTAAGTCAGGTGCTGCAGATGTAGGAGCTACCGACGGGCCTGCAGCCGGTGGCTGGCCCTCCGACGTCTGCGGCGTTGCACCACCAAATCTTCGTTGGTCCGTCTCCTGCTGGCGTTGACTGCGGGTACGAACACCCTCCGTTTCCTCCTTAGGTAAAATCGGCATTATTTTATCCCACTTCTGACACCAATTGTTACGAGCTTGAGGTTCGTGACAATAAAAATTGCCGATAAAATTACCTAAATTAACACTTTAATTTACTTTACACAAATTAAAGTTAAAAACACTAATAATTAAACACACTTATTTACTTTATTCCGCTCCGAAGCTTTGCTTGTTTTGCCAAATCAACACTACTCGCTCGCATCTTGCTGCGCCTACTTATATAAATTAGCAAAATATCCAGAATGTTCAAGTAAACACGCGCGAGGTACCGAGAGTTCGAGTTCTAAACTTCAAGAAGTTTAGTTCTTTGGTTCGAGACTAGATGGCGCTAGTGCGCCGATTTTAGCGCGTAACATTAGTGTTTTAAGTTTTATTTTGTGTAAAGAAAACTAAAGTGTTAATTTAGGTAATTTTATCGGCAATTTTTATTGTCATGAACCTCAAGCACGTAACAATTGGTGTCAGAAGTGGGATAAAATCATGCCGATTTTACCTAAAGAGGAAAAGGAGGGTGTCCGTATCCGAAGTCAACGCCAGCAGGAGACGGGCCAAAGAAGATTTGGTGGTGCGACGCCGCAGACGTCGGTGGGTCAGCCGCCGGAATCCGGCCCGTCAGCAGCTCCTACGTCTGTGGCACCTGACTTAGGTGCTCTGATGGTGATGCTGCAGCAGCTGCAGCGCGGAACAGGAGGAACAGGCCCGCCGATTGGAAGAACAGATGCGGGGCGGACAAGAGGAACAGGCCCGTCGGTTGGAAGAGCAAATGCTCCTCATGAAGGATCTTCACGCTACCTTCGGGAAGGAGATTAAGGAGGTTAAGGATAGGGTTGCTCAGCATGGCAACCGCCTGTTGGAAGCTGAAACCCAAATCGCGAAGGCTGAAACCCAAATCAAGGAAGCTAAAACCCAAATCGACCAAGTGAACAAACGGGTAGACAACGTGGTGGCTGATGTGAAGAAAACGCTGGACGACCTCAAACTCGGGGATGGAACAACAGCTCCCGTAGTAGCTACAACACCTTCGTTACGTAGATTCAAATTGCCGCCGTTCGACGGGACTTCTTCCTTGTCGGCCTACAAAATCTAGTTCGAGGCCGTCACGGAGGCGAACGGCTGGAATAAACCATGACTGCACTCACCCTAGGCCTGCGCGACCAAGCCTTAACTGTGTTGGAAGCTCTCGGTAAGAAAGTGTCCTACGAGCAGCTCCTTGAGGAGTTGGAGGCGAGATATGGCGACGCTCACCTGGAACACGTCTTTCGCACGCAGCTTAAAGATCGCGTGCAACGCAGCAACGAAAACCTGCAGCAATGGGCCCTTGAGGTGGAGAAGCTGGTGCGAAAAGCATACCGGTCTGTACCTACGCTCATTGAAGGGAACCTGGTTCAGACATTCATTGACGGCATCCGCGACCTTGAAGTCAGAGCTGCTGTGAGGCTCGGGCACCACGAGACGCTGAAGGACGCCTTGGCCCATGCACTGGAGGTGGAAGCCGTGAGGCAGGATCTTCGCTCCCATCGCATCAGGGAGGTTGCAGCAGCTACGGTTCGCGACCGCAATAAAGGATACAGCCCTAGGTGCTATGGCTGTGGGGAAAGGGGCCATCTTTGATCCAGCTACCCTAAGCGAATCGTAGAAAGGGAAGGTGAACGATATCAGGAGGGTGGTGCGGCTAACAGCCCCGCCCAGCAGCAGCAGGGAAACGAGTAAAAGCCAGAACTGCGGGGCGGGTGCTGGCTGATGTTAAAAGAGCCCCAAGAATCTCGATCTCACAAACCCATGATGGGAACAGTCTGATCATCAAGGGCGAGGTCAACGGAATGCCGTGTAAACTGACCATAGATACTGGAGCCTCTCGTACGGTTGTTAGTTCCCAACTTATAAGTCAGTTCCTTGGGGACTCCGCATACAACCGAGAACGCATTAATTTGGTAACAGCCACCGGTCAGCATTTACCCGTCCGTGGAGAGAAGGAGATGGAGTTGAAGCTAGGCAATGTGATCTACCTGCATAATGTCATCGTGGCTGATATAATGGACGACTGCATCCTAGGCCTAGACTTTATGAGGAATAACTGTTGTGAGATCGACGTTAAGCAAGGTGTTTTGAAATGTGGACAGGAGGAACTTTTTATGGAAGGTGCGTTACCAGGGAACATGTACAGCATTAACCCTTAATTTCATGGTGATGGAAATTTCCATCGTTAAGAATTTTTGTCTTTATTTTTAGTTTGTGATCCGAATGAATTTATTTACGGACATGTATATGAACATCGATGTTTAGGCAACATTTTTGAACGAAACAAAGAACTGTCAATGTCAACTGTCATGGTCAATCATCTGTTCAAGTGAAACGATAACTACTTGTGGTTTGTGGTGTTTCTGATTGTTAGTTTGTGAACTTATACGGACAATTAATTATTGAAAAAATTATTATTTCATAAAATAAGGTAAGTTTTCAATACCTAAGCAATTTGTTTTAGAAAAATCATAGTTTTTAGATGTATTCTGGGTCTTTTTGTTTATGATGGAATTTTCCATCAATATGCATTAGTCGTAGTTCTCGATGTATGGAAACCTAACTTTTCAGCACTATTATTCTTTTATAGTTTATCTCAAGTTTATAATAATTTTTATGTAATATTTCAGCAAAAATGTCTTTTCCAAGATCAAGAATAATCAATGATAGAGACATTGAAGAGTACTTGTCTGCTCTGGAAGGAGGATATCTGTCAGAAGATGGCATGGAAATGTCTGATACGGAAGATAATGAGGAAAGTATCTTTTACACCAACAGAAATGAACCAATGCAAGACATAGAGGATGATGATAATCTGGAAAATGAACCTACTTTACATGAAGAACAAGTTGATGTGCATGATCCCCCTCTGATTCTAGAAACTGTGGCATCTAAAACAGGAGAAAACTCTGCTTGTTCGACTTGGGTGTTAGACAAGAGGAAGCTGATTTGGAAGAAGAGTACACTTCAGTTTTCTGAGTCAAATATTGAATTTGAAGGAAGCACTGATCTAGGTACTGAAATAACAGCTCTAAAAACACCATATCAATGCTTCAACTATTTTTTTTACACCTGAACTTTGTAACAAAATAATATCAGAAACTAATCTATATGCCAACCAATTAAATCCTGAAAATAGATTTAATTTGTCTCATTATGACCTGAAAAAGTTTTTAGGCATTCTGCTTTACATGTCTGTTCAGCATTTCCCCAGCACACGCAAATACTGGTCAAGGCGTTTTGGATTTGAACCTATAAAGCAAACTATGAATGTGAATACATTTGAAAAGATCAAAAAATATATCCATTTCAATGATAATGACAAATATATACCAGTTAACCAATCAGGACATGACCGCTTACATAAGGTGAGACCAATTATTGATAGTCTAAATCAAACCTTTTCCAGTGTGAAAAAACATCAAAGACTATCAATTGATGAACAAATGTGTGCCACCAAAGTGGGACATTATCTAAAACAATATCTACCAAATAAGCCCCATAAGTGGGGATTTAAGTTGTATGTTTTATGTAGTGTTTTTGGATTTGCCTACAAATTTGAAATTTATTCTGGCCAAGACATTTCTACAAGACCTGAAGGTGAGCCTGACTTAGGTTCTACAAATAATATTGTGCTTCGCTTAACCAGAGATGTTCCACGAATGGCCAACCATATTATCTTCTTTGATAATTTCTATACATCTGTGCCATTAGTTATCTATTTGGCTAAGCAAGGAATACATTGCCTTGGTACAATTCAACAAAACAGAATTCCTAATAACAAACTACCAGACAAAAAAAGAGATGATGAAAAAAAATACCCCTAGGGGTACTTATGAAGAAAGAACAGCATCATATGACGGAATTGATTTAGCTTGCATAGCATGGAAGGACAATAAAATAGTGACTATGTTATCAAGTTACGTAGAAGCAGAGCCTGTTTCAACCGTCAAAAGGTTTGATAAAAAGACGAGGGAAAGAGTTGATATATTGTGTCCAAAGTCCATTACAGAATATAACAGTCATATGGGGGGTGTTGACTTGTTAGATAGTTTCTTGGGTAGATATCATATAAGAGTAAAATCTCGCAAATGGTATATTCGTATATTTTTCCATTTGTTTGATCTGGCTGTTATCAACTCCTGGATTATATATAAAAATAATGCAAAAAAAGAAAATGTTGCAAAAAAGAACATTTTAAACTTAGGTGAGTTCAGAAACGAGCTGGCCTATGTTTTATGTAACTCAGGCACAAATGAAAATAAAAGAGGTCGGCCTAGCTCTTCCAGCCTGGAGCAGGAGTTGCAAGCTAAGAAGAAGAGGTTACAATCAAAACCAATCCCTCCATTGGATATACGGATGGATGGTCTTGGGCACTGGCCAGATGTTGGTGTGTCGCTTCGTTGTAAGTATCCACATTGTACAGGATACACCACCATAAGCTGTGCCAAATGTGGCATAAATTTATGCCTAAACAAAAATAATAACTGTTTTACTAAGTTCCACACTACCTAATATCAAATATGGCAATTACCTATATGTATATTAACTCTAAGTGCATAGTGATGGAAAAATCCATCGCATGATTTATAATATATTATATGAAAAAAAAAAATTACTACAACTATTTTAACATTTTTTTTATATAATAAAGAAACTTTATCTGCATTGTGCATAATTTTTTTTATTTTTAAATCCATAATCATAAATATTCTATGCATTTAAGGGTTAAGAAGATTGTTCTTCCGCCGAGATCGGAAACGATTGTTCCGGTTAGTCTTCCTCGAAACGCTGGGCAAGCTTACCGTTGTGTACTTGTGGAAAGGGTAAACAATGACCTTCCATGGAAAGCAACTCGAACCTTGGTCAGAACCACTGACATCTCAGGAGTACGTGTGCTGAACCTTTGTGACCGGGAACAGATTATAGAAAGAGGCACGCTGGTTGGTACTTGTGAGGAAGTGGATTGGTTACGTCGGTGCCGATATCAATCGAGTGAGACCCCCAGCAAGAATGCACAAACGAGAGTGACCACACTTTTGGAAGACTGTCGCAGCGTTCTCTCCCCGAACGAAATGGTCAAGGCGGAGAAGTTGTTACTCAAGTATGCTGATGTATTCTCATCAAACGATACTAACATAGGAAAGACTGGCTTAGTTCAACACAAAATAAACATAGGAGAAGAATTGCCTATCCGTCAGCGGCCAAGAAGATTGCCAGTAGCACGTGAAAAGGAAGTGGAAACCATGACTGAAGGAATGGTAGAACGATTTATTCAGACGTTGGAGAGGTACCTAGCAAAACTTGTAGACAATTGGCAACGAGATTGGCACAAGCACATACAACCGTTTTTGTTGTCATATCGAAGCGCTGTTCACGAAAGTACAGTGACACCAGCTTTCGCAAACTTTGGAAGAGAATTACGGCTGCCTGCAGACCTGATCACCGGGATACCACCTGATGCCCCACGCAGTATAACCGATTATGCAAATGACTTGCGGAACAAAATGAATGACATTTATGAGCACGTCAGACAATCGGGCCAGCAAATGCCTGAGAAGACGAAAACCCGGTACGACCGTAAAATGAACAATAAAGGCTTCGACGAAGGTTCACTAGTGTGGTTGCACAATCCAGTCCGCAGCAAAGGGAAATCTTCTAAGCTTCAAGCTAAATGGGACGGCCCGTACCGGATTGTAACCAGGATCAACGATGTAACCTACCGGATACAGAAAGGCGCAAGAGGGACTCCTAAGATCGTCCATGTGGATCGCTTGGCGCGTTATTATGGGGCCGATAATGCTCGGGACGAGCATGTCTTAGAAGGGGGCAGTGTTGCGCGAATAAGTCGACGTCATGTATCCAGCACTAGCGCCATCTAGTGTCAGGAACGAGAGCGAGGGGAGCTTTCCAGAAAATGACATCACTAATCTTTCAACCGACACACACAGAAGTGGGCACTCGAACTCTCGGCCCCTTGCGCGTGTTTAATTGAATATTCTGGATGTTTCGGTGCTAATTTGTATTTATAGGCACTGCAAGATGCGATCGGGGAAGTATTGAATTCGGCGAGACAAGCGAAGCTTCGGAGCGAAATAAAGTGAATTAGTGTGATTAATTATTAGTTTTTTAGTGTTTTAAGTTTTTATTTGTGTAAAGAAAATTAAAGTGTTAATTTAGGTAATTTTATCGGCAATTTTTATTGTCACGAACCTCAAGCTCGTAACAATATAATGTAATTATTTATTTGCCTTAATTACCACGCTATAATAGCGAGCAATTATTACAAATATCCTTTCTTTGAAGGATTATATGAGGAGGCTATTGGAATTTGATAGGCGGTAATTAATAAATGTCATATAAATATTATGTTTACTATTGATGGCAGCAAAGAACAAAAAGTCAAATACAAAATCTATGATTCTCACCTTTTTACACCACACATCGAATTGGGAAGCTTCTATTGTACAAGAAAGTAAAAATTTATTGCGTGTAATATTACATCTTCAAAAAAAAAACTTAATTAGTATGTTTTCTAAATTCCATGTAAATGGTTAGGTATCTATAAAAATCAATGATGATTACAGAATATTATTTTTTCATAGTTTTTATTTAAATAGATAGCAGCTTTATGTGAAATAAACAAGATTTTTAAAAGATCATTACTGTCATGAAGATTCTGAAGAATGGATGTCCGCCGTGTGTCCTTTTCTACTACTAATCTATTTTAAGTTTTCTTTCTTTTGTGTGTATTTAATTGTCCAGTTGTAAGTGATTTCATAATAAAATTGGTGGGGAATAAGTTCATTGAGTGGCAGCCTCGGACCCCTCGCCAATAGAAGGCGTGACACAACCTGATGAAACATGCAGTTATGCCTTGATGGATCGCTCGCTTCACCAAGATGAACATGGACAAAACAAAGATCATGTTTAATGTCCATGTCACATCTATGCCGGTAGTTGTTGGGAGCACTAAGCTTAAAGTTTTTGACGAGTACGTTCACCTGGGACAAATAGTCCGACTAGGTAAGTCCAACTTCGACCGAGAGGTCAATCGACGGATTCAACTCGGCTGGGCAGCGTTCGGGAAATTACGACACACCTTCTCGTCAGGTTATACCTCAATCTCTGAAAACTAGATTGTACAACCAGTGCGTGTTGCCAGTGATGACTTACGGATCTGAGACGTGGTCCTTCACTGCTGGCCGTATGAGGACGCTCAAGGTCGCTCAGCGAGCTATGGAGAGGGCTATGCTCGGAGTTTCTCTGCTTGATAGACTCAGAAATGAGGATATCCGCAGTAGAACCAGAGTGACCGACATAGCCCAACGGATTGGTAAGCTGAAGTGGCAATGGCTTGGGGAAAAAAGGTTCTCGAGTGGCAGCCTCCGTAGTACCGGTAGGCGTAGTGTAGGGCGACCCCCCACTAGATGGAGTGACGACCTGGTAAGATATGCAGGAAGTCGATGGATGCAGGTGGCTCAGGACCGTGCTTTGTGGCATTACTTGGGGGAGGCCTATGTTCAGCAGTGGACTTGTTAAGGGCTGTAATGATGATTATGATGTAGAGTAGTGATTGCGACACATGAATAAAAATAGTTCTAATAGCGTGAACAGATTTTATATATTATTTTCAACACATTTTTCCAGAAATTTCCATCCCAACCAGTTGTGCCTCAAGATTATATAACGTATTTGTCCTGGTGGTCAGATAACGCTCATCCCGGTGAAATTGAAGTAGCAGCGGTCTTTCTCTGCTTATGCGGTTTAATGGTAGATAAAACACTCTGCAATGAGTTACCGTCTGTAATAGCCGCTGCTAGCGTACAAAACGCCTTACTGCTGCTGGGCAAACGGGACTTGATGCTGCGCCTTCAGACATGTGCTGTGTGAGTAACATTATTTATAAAACCTTTTTTATAATTATAAAAACCTTATACTATGATATTAAAGCTTGGTAACTATGCAAGTCATTTGCTAAAAGATCCAGGACTTGATTTTTAAGATGTGCTACACACTAATCAGTATGAAATGCGAAAGGTGAAATCGATTTTAGGATGATTTTGTTCAAATTGGGCCAGATAAAGTTTGGGGGATTTTTTGCAGTTTTAGGCGAAGTTTCATCATAATTTAACATTATACAAAATTAAAAGTTCACATGCATCAGTCCATCCACGACAGCCTATTAAATTCTACTGCTTAATATAAGCCTCGCTTAATATGACGCTTAAGAATACCTCATCAGGGGGATTCTGCCATAGTTGCCACGCTAGGCTAGCGGTTTGGCAACCGCAGTTGTTTATGATTTGGAGTTGTTATCAGTAAGATGCTGCTGCCCATTTCCCGTGTCAGTTTTCTTCTACCGCCTCTTACTACGGGCACGATTCGGAGGAGTGGACTCTCTCACGCCACCACTACATGGTGGCACAAAAGCAAAAAAAAACGTCACATATGTGCAGGACTAATCGTCACAAATATATAGTATAAAAGTTGGGATTTGGATGTCCGATGGTGTTTGACCGATGTTTTCAAATAAAAATGAGGAGACGTCAGTATGTTTAATATTTTTTATTATGAAAATAATAAAAAAACAATAAAATTGTATTTATCACAATTATTTTTCATATTATTAACATAGATGGATACACAGGATGGAGTGACCACATGGTAGTCGATGGATGCAGGTGGCTCAGGACCGTTGTTTGTTGCATTCCGTGGAGCCTACGTTCAGCAGTGGACTTGTGAAGGGCTGTAATGAATGAATGAATGAAAGAGAGAAGTACATTGTAATAGAGTTTGTACCGGTAGCGGGAATGTAGTGATGAGGTCACAGCGACCTCATTACTATTGATTTGTGGTCCCTAGTCTTTGAGCTTGGTGTCAGAAAGACCACGTATTGTTTATAGGAATATGATTAATTATTCAATGATATCCGAGGCATTAGGCCACAAAGACACTTGTAGGGACGGCTGAGATTGACGGCTGACGTGGTAGAGCCATGCTGCAGTTATATTAGTAGTATAGTTGTAGCACGATGGACGGGGAAGGACCACGCTCTCGAAGTGAATGTAGTTGGAGACCGGAACCCTTTTTACTGGAAAGAGGATTCCATCTAGTTCGGGTGACAACGCATTGCATTTTGATTATTAATGGAGGATAGAGTAATGTCTATGGGCCGCACAACCACTTCCTAGGGGACGTGTGCTCGTTTGTCACCTATTCTATAAAAAAAAATGCCTAGATGCGGGACGTCCTGGAAAACTCGGGACTGTTGGCAAACCCAATCATATTCCTCATCAATACGTAAACTGTTGGAGATTGGGATAATTTTCCTTAACATCATCCTTAGAAGGCAAACTGTTGGCCACTACAGAACTCAGAATCATTGCTCTGAGGCGGCCCCTGTACTAGGCAACTCAATAAGAGTAAGAGCCCATGAACCAGCCAGACCTTCGTATTTTATAAAAACTGAAAGTTTGTAAGCGCATGCTCCCAACACAGCTAAGAACGATAGACCATCATGAAGTTTGGGTTACAGTGGCTTTGGCAAGTAACCGGTACTAAAGGTGCGTAAAATACCAATCTAAATCCTTCAAATAATAAAGTGCGACTTTTTGGCATTACCTTCATAATATTATTAAAAATCACGTTATTCATTGCTAGACACTTGCCAGACAAACATGTAGGGTAGCTCTAGGAGCGAGCGCGAGGCAGCATGTATATATAGTCCGTTCGCGTTAAGAAAATAGTGAGTCATCAGTGCAAGTACAGGGTGGTGTATTCACAGTGGAGTAAAAATTCTTTTTTTCAAACATTTAATTAAGTTTAAGGAAACAAATTTTCTTAAAATTACTTACATTAATTATGAAAGAATTTTGTTCTCAAGTTTTTCATAAGTACTTAACTTCTTGTTTGCTATTTGTTCTTATTTTATGTCACTCATTTTGAACGTGGAGTTATTGGAAGGTTTCGCAAAGTGTCGTAATTTTGTCCAATGTCGGGTAGTCGTTATTTAAATATATTGAGTGAACACTTTTCCTTATTGCACATTTGTCTGGTTTATCTAATTTATCGACCATCGATAGTCGACCTCTTTTTTCACGGGTGATTTTAATGTGTTAGTATCCTTTTGTTCTTTAATAATTTTATAAACAGTATTTTCGGACACACCACATGCACTTGCTGTTTTTATTACTGTGCTCTCCACAGTCGCATTTAAATCACACAGTTTAAAGTACCTATAAACATTGTAAATTACGCGTCTCTCTCCGCTATGGATTATTGATCCACTTTTATTCTTTCGAATAGGTGAGGTGTTCATTTTCAAAATTTAATGTTGAACGAGTAACACGCAAAATACACAACCGTTTTGTTCGAAGGCCTGACTTCAACTGGTCACTGTGAACTCGACTTTCTAATTTCTTGCATTTTAGTTGGGGGGGGGGGGGGGCCAGGCCGGCGGACAACGATGACTCACTCTTTTCTTAACGCGAACGGACTATAGGTGGGTGCGAGTGAAATGGCGAGTTAGTCTACCGCGATCCCTCATTGCTATAAATGGCGTTAATAGTTGAATTTATTTATTTGTTAAAAGTTATTTCTTAATTTTTTTAACAGATAAAATTAACGATATTACTTTTTAAGTGAATTTTTATTTTTAATCGGTTGTGTTAATTTTATTGCTTTAATTTTACACATGAAATTTTAATTCAATAAACATTTCTTCATACTTTAATAGGTACAGCACTCTTTAGTATTAAAGTATAGTTAGGCTAGGCGTATTTAACGGTTTATTAATTTAGTATTTATATTACATTAAAATTAACAATAAATTGTTTATCATTTACAATGATTAGGTATTTAGTATTTACTAAATGTAAAAAATTACAAGTTTTTCAAGATGGTCCCATAGCTGTGTGACGTCTCGGCGTGATAAAAGGTGAAAATTAAACTCTTAAAATCTTGTACTTTTGTACACTACCCTCAATAATACTAAATAATATAAAAACTAATTTCACTAAATCTTAATTAACTTAGCTAGCATTTATTTTTACAACTTTTTATATATTCTTCAGTATATTGATACCCCAATCTCTTGTAATATTTTGACGCAGAAGAAGACCACAATATCAAATGGAGTAACAGTGACGGAGAAAATCTTAACATTGGTGATGATAATGGCAATGAATGTAATAGTATTGTCTTTTATACTCTATAATAATATCTTTTTTATTATCCTTTATAACAACTTGTAGTATCATTAACCTATTTTAATAAAAATTTTGAGAAATATTTTATTTGACTTTTTTAAACCTGTTATTGACAGAATAAATTAAATTTTTAACAATTTAAGGTAGTTGTAGCACCGAATGTCTTTTCGTAAGATGTTTTAAAAATTTCCATAGATTATCATTATCAGCTTTACATAAATCAGCGCCAAACAGTTTATTTGCGTAAGTCGTTCTAATCGATTGAACTAAATACATAGTATCTGGATGCTATAATCACGAATATCTTCTTAAGATTTGCAATGTTTCTCTGGCAAGGGGTTGGAAATATCAAAATATCTGGCTAATAAGGAAAAATCATCTAATTATTACCCAAGTATTACATATAAAAATCAGCATAACGCAAGCAGCAATCACTATAACGTAAATAATAATATAATTAATATTATTCTCATCATTGACAGCGAATATTAAATTAATAATACTTGAAGATAGGATTTATTATTGTTTTACTTGATGTAAGCGTGTATTAAATACTAAACAATACAAGCGCATCTCACTCGCACCCATCCATATACATACTGCCTCGCGCTCGCTCCTACAGCTACCCTACATGCTTGTCCGGCAAGGGGTTGGAACTATCAAAAATGTCTGGCTAATGAGGAAACATCATTTACTTATTACACAAGTTTTATGTATAAAAATCAGCTTTTATACTATAACGTAAGTAAAATTACAATTTCATGAACATTAAGGGTGTCTGGCAAGGGGTTGCCACGATGTTAAGTATCTGGCAATGAATAACGTAATTTTTAATAGTATTCTGAAGGTAATACCAAAAAATTGCACTTTATTATTTGACGAATTTAGATCGGTATTTTACACACCTTTCGTATCGTTTACGTGCCAAAGCCACTGTAACCCAAACTTCATGATAGTCAATCGTTGTTACCTGTGTTGGGAGCATGCGCTGACTAACTTTCAGCTTTTATAAAATAACGAGGGTCTGGGGTTCACGGGCTCTTAGACTAATATGCGATTCAAGTAAGAATAGGTCTGACCTGGCGCCATATTGTGACGTCACATCTATCTATTCAAACCAGTTAGGTAGGGTCAGCAAAGTAGATATTTTTGAAATAATATTTATTTACAAATAAATACAAAAGAACCATGAAAGAAAAAGTATTAAGGCGCAACTCCTAGCGAACGACTTTGAGCGTTCGGTCCTATAAATTCCACGCGCTCTCGCTACTCGCTACAATATGTCGCGTAAGAAATACGCCCAAATTATAAAATATTTTCTTTATAAAATCGAATTTTAGTCCTTTGAAAAAATGAAATAGATCAAAATTTGTCTGAGAAATAAGAAATTCCCATGTCATGGGTGTTGGCGAACTTAACAAGTGTTCGAAATATCGAAGACATGTGAAGTTCGCCAGTACGCGTTTGGGCAGCGCGGCGGACACTTCCCCGCCTTATAAAATGAGGAGTGGCGTGTGTCCATCAGCGGGACGTATATAGGCTGTAATATTTTTTATATAGTGTAAGGAACATCCGATTTTTGGCTTTTTATAACGAAACAGTTCAAATATAAAATGTTTTTAGGTTTAAAGCAGCAAAAAATAAGACGACGAATATGTGTTGCATTTGCTCAACATTGCGTACAGCGGTGCGTATTGTGTCGAACTATAAGTACGAGTACAAGGCGCCAATAGAAATTTTTGGAATTGGCCCCCATTTTATAGCACAAAAGATTGTAAAATGCGCATACGACCTCGAAGATTTGGAAGTCCAGTGTACAAGGAATTGAGGAAAAATACTCGCTATAACGTGCATTAAAAACTACTTGGTTAAGTTTTGGAATAGTTATTGAAATACAATGAAATGTTATATAACCTCTAATTTCTCATTTCTGTAAACAAAATTTCGAAAAAAATAAAAGGATATATTTCGCTTTTGCAATTATAAAGTAAAGGAAAAAAATATAGGAAGCTAAATATAGAATAGTTACAAATGGGTTCACCAAGTTCAGTTAACAAATTATGTATATAGAAATTGAACTACCTAACCTATTTTTAATAAATATATATATATATACAGTTCTTAATCGCATATTTGTTAAATTTATTAAACATTGAACTATTTTAAGAGGAAAGTATGATAATGATTTTGAATATTATATTACACTACTTTTGATCACATACCATTATTTAGGCGATTTTTAATTTCGCTGTAAAATCTTAGCAAATTTTAACATTTATTGTGTTGAAGTTTACTTTACGTTTAGTTTCTGAAAAAATACTATACTATATAGTGTTTTTTCTGTATACTTCAATAATATTTAATATATTTATTAAAAATAGGTTAGGTAATTCAATTTGCTATATACCTACATAATTTGTTAACTGAACTTGGTGAACCCATTTGTAACTATTCTATATTTATCTTCCTATATTTTTTTTAATTCACTTTATAATTGCAAAAGCCTGTGTAAAATATTATCCTTTTATTTTTTACGAAATTGTGTTTACAGAAATGAGAAATTATATCAAAAAATAATTGAAAGTATAATAAGTCACCTAAACACATGTATACATTTTATGAAAATTTTTAAGTCTATATTATGTAAAATTAATTTTTAAATCAATAGTATTAAATAAATGTGGTTATATTAAATAAAATAGATGACTTGTTTAATGGTTTTACTTTTTTATTACTTTTTACGCCGATAAGATAAAAGATAAAAGATAAAGGTAAAGATATTTATTTTGTAAAACATGAGAAAAAAATAAAGGTGTTAAAAACTTAAAATGAGCTACATGTTTTGCCATTTATGGCGTACAAAAATTATTATACAGGATAAATTAACTAAGACTACGGACATAATTTTAAATGTGCAACAATTTCAATGGCATCTCGTAAAATCGAAAAGATCGTGATATTGAAAGATGACTGATATTGATGTCATTTTTGGCTATTACTAATTACAACATATACTATAATAAAAAGAGGGTAAACATACGAATTTAGTGGGATTCATTAAAACAATAAAAAACTACTGTCGACAAAATTAAAAATGGGATTGAGTGTGACTGACTCTGTGCTTCTGTCAAGTATTTTGAGCAATTAATCATGTCGTCATAAAGAAAAGTGGTCGTAATTAAATATTAATTAGTTGTATTGTGTAGTTAGTGTAACTTGTTTATCATTGTTATCTAAAACTCCACTGTTGCACATAGGCCTTTGAAAAGTTCGTTTTAAAGTAAAGAGTTATTGAACTCGCACTGTTGACGCTTCTCCCCAACATCGTGGTAACCGTCGTCATTTTCTAAATGTCAATGTCATCGGTGTGAGTAATTTACGTCTGGCGTAAACGAGTTAATTCCATTGATGTGTATTTTTTCGGAAGCTTTCTTTCTGCTGATTCCTATACTCGCCACTTACGACACTCACGACGTAAAATAGGTTTACGAATGCCCTTTTCCTTCCATCACACAGATATTTTTATTCCACCAGCAAAAACCTTTCCAACTTAACGTCAAGATTCAGTGTATCTAGTGAGAGGCTGATGGCGTGAGCCTAGTGAGATCGGTGACCATTGTCAAATTTCGCCCTCGCTGAGATATTACTAAAAAGTTGTAGCCCGGTCGGCGTAATGAAGTCAAAATCATTTTGTCGAACAGTCGGCACTGAACCATATACACTTTCTGTAGAATAAAAGATCATCTTAAGTAGTAAGTTCTTTTTTTATAGAATTAGGGTAACAAGCGAGCACACAGTCGACCTGATGGTAAGTGATAGTAAATCAAATATACTTTATGAGTGCCTATAATAAATAAATAGCAATATTAAAATAGATATGGAGAAACGTTTTCAAGCTGATAAACTTTGAATGGATGGCATTATTTTAGTGAAAATTTGAAACTTCGACTTGAACGTAGAAAATACTCTTACAATTAGAGCAGTTCAATACAATTTCGAGATATGTTCTTAAACAAATCTCTTAAACGTTTTTATAGAATAAGGCTGATGAACTAGCACGCAGGCCACACGATAACAAATGGATGCTGTAGCACATAAATATTTACATCTATCTTCCATTATAGGATAAGTGTTACAAACGAGACAGTCATGTGAGGTTAAGTGGATGCTGTGCACGAATTATATGTTCAATTAAAAATCAAAATGCAGATTTGTTGCCAGTCCTGAGGACTGAGATGGAATGCCACGTTTCCAATAAAAGGGATCTCCGGTTCTTTCACCATACGAAACACAGCACCATTAAGCTGCTATTTTGCGCTGGTATTCTTTGCGAGCGTGGTCCTACCCCGGTCGAGCCGACCCGTTCGTGCTGCAACCATAATATAGCTGCAGCATGGCTCTACCACGTAAATAGGTGACACATGTGAAGTTCGCCAACACGCAATGAGGTGACGCGGCCGACGAATTGTTCCGTAAACCTGTTTAGAAATGAGAGGCCTGTGCCCAGCGGTGGGACTTATAGGCTGTAACTTTACCTTACTTTGTAAACTATAAACGCGAATATTATAAGTAGCAATTACGCGTAACTTTTTACTTATTATTAATATAAATTTACATATAAATTTAAGATAATATATACACATGAGGTAAAACCGGCTGCTGTGGAAAAACCAAAACCAGATATTATGTCTACTATCAACTAAGGTTACTGTTCAAAACCACTTAACAAAATTTATTTTCTCTTGAATACATTTTGATTACAATAAAGCTGTGAGAACTGTCGTGATTGTAGTCATAATTATTTTATAGAGGAAGTTAGTAGCAGTGTGCATCGGTGTTGTGTGGTTGTGTAAGATTTATATTTGTAAACAGTGTTACTACAATGACATTAAAACGTAAGTAAAAACATCGTATTTAATGCGTTTTCTCATTGTTATCATCTTATATATACAATAAAACGACTGAACGTAGATATTCCCGAAGTGATGCCGCATAGCACGTTTTTGCATTCATCAATTTCCATTGTATACATAAATATTTATCATTATTAACTGATGTTAGTTAAAATCCGTGTTTTATTTTTTACAGTGTTAATATACATGTCTTTAATTATACGGCATGTAAATTCTCAGAGATCACAGACTCCAATTATGTATCAACAAAACGTACCCGATATCTATAATAGCGGACAGATATTTTTTGAAAATTCTCACTATATCCACCCGCAAATAAATTTAGGTTATACTATTGATTCACATGACAAGTTTTCTCGAGAATATGACAAAAATACAAGGCAAATTTTAGTTGACAACAGATTTGAACCTAATAACAAAGAGTCATACGGTCAACCACAAATACAAACACAACAAACGATTTACCAACACACAGTGCAACCAGATCAGAAGATTTATAGCGAAGACAATATACATAGTGATGGTACGAGAACTACAATAGCTGAAACAATTATAGATGAAGACATTTCATCCAAATTTGGTAAGGGCGATACAGGAAAATTGAGCCAAAATACAAATTTCAATAATAAAACTTTCGCTATAACCAGCTTTGGCTTAAAATTGTTAAAGGTATGTTATAGCTTGTTAAAGTAAAAAAAAAAATATTAGCTTATGGTTTCTTCAAAAATATTACTTTTTAAAGGTATTCCAAGTATTCTCCATGTCAATAAAATGTTAAATAGGTATTGGAATTTAAAATTGGAATCGATTCTCAGTAACGAAGTTAATTTAGAGATAAAGTTAGTAAGTTTAAGTTCGTTAAGAAGTGCTGAAGAAGCTGAAGTGGTAATGGCTTATATAGCTCGAAGTACCCACTACCAGTAAGGAAAAAGGTTCTCGAATGGCAGCCTCGTATCTGTAAGCGAAGTGTGGGACGACACCCCACTGGACAGAGTGACGTCATACGACGTAGTAACACATACAGGAAGTCGATGGATTTTTTTATAGGATAAGGGTGACAAACGAGCACACAGTATACCTGATGGTAAGTGGTTACTGCGGACCATAGACATCTAAATCTATCCTCAATTACGAATCAAAATGCAGATGCGTTGTCACCCGTGAGGACTAAGATGGAATGCCTCGCTCCGGTTCTCTACACTCACCAAACAAAACACAGCAACGTTAAGCAGCCGTTTTACGCTGGTATTCTGTAAGAGCGTGGTCCTTTCCCGGTCGAGCCGACCCATCCGTGCTACGGCTGTACCAGTTATATAGCTTCAGCATGGCTCTGCAACTTATAAAATTAAAAAGATGTATATAGCTCAGGATCGTGCTTTGCGATATTCTTATGGATAGGCCAGTTTTCAACAATAGACCAGTGATGGGCTGTGACGATTTTTTTGGCGAGGGTTTGCCTCTACAAAATGAAAATGCGTCTTGAGATCCAAAAGTTTTTTAGGATTCGTTTGCATTCAAATTCAATCACTATTCATTGATTATAACCTATCAAAGTCCACTGCTGAATGTAGGCATCTGTCGTAGATTATTGCATAGGGTAGCAATAGTTGCCACGCTTGGCATACTATAAAATAATTTTTTTTCCTTACGATTACAAATTTAATAATTAAAATGCGGAAATTTTGCCAAATTGAAATAATTTGATTTAACTAACACAGATGGAAGGCGCCGCTATTTGGAGCGTTTGGAGAAACGCTCGTGATCTATAATGGTAACTTAAGTTGTTAGTAACCTTAATTCATTCTTATTCCTTACACTATATTACGAGTATGTGAGTATATTGTTGACGTAATGTTCGTGTAGAATCATATAAAATTTTGACAAATTTGTTCCTCATTTCAGGGTATGAGTCGGGATCCAGGAAACATTTTAGCATCCCCATATTCAATCGCTATGCTTCTGGCTCTTATACAACAGGGTGAGTTTGGAGAAACGCAAAATGAAATCACGAAGGTGTTACAGTTAATGCCAGAATCTTTAGCGGAACTATTTAAGGGTCTTACAAATGCTGTGCAGATATTCAATTTACAGTTACAATTTTGTTCGGGTCAATGGACAATGCTGTTAGCAATATTTCACTGACAAGTGTTCCCTCAAGCACTGGCTCTCACACGTCTGTTTTTTTATGAAGTATCTACTCATGCCTACCTAGCGGGCGCAGGGAATAGTGTCTATAAAGTCAGGTTCGCACTGACTAATTGAATAAAACTCATGTATATGGTGTTCCAGCTTCGCCGCATAAAGACAGACAAATGGGAGGGAAACTCCTTCACTCGTTCTTCTTCTTAGGCAAGGCGAGTCGAAAAAAGGCTCGCATTCTTTCACGACTTCGATTTCCACCTGCGTAACGGACATTTCCAAGTCCGTTATGCGCAAGATATAGTGCAAGAAAAATCGTAGCATTCCAGGTCATCAGTTTTCCCCAGCGGCCGATCTGGATCGCCATTTCGACACTCTAAACCAATGATTCCCAAAGTGGTCTATATCGACCCCTAGTCTATGACAACCTGCAAGGGGTCTACGTCAACGAAAAAAATGGGGGGTCCTTGAAATGAAAATGGGGGTCCACGATAGTGGATCTCAACACATACACTGATAGTACCTATATACTTACATCATATTATCTTATAATATCAATACATATACATTATTTATAAAAGATTTATAGTTTATTTTATATTTATTTAATGTTACGTGTAGCGGCGCTGTCGTCGCGCCACTAGCACACCGAAACACACCGAGGCCTAAATCGCGCTATTAACATTCCGAATCATAGACAGTATAATATATAGAACTTCTCCGAACTATCACTGGAGTGTCGGCCGCTCCCCGGGCAGAACACCTTGCCCGGCGGGAGATCTCCCCTTTTCCTACCACGGCCACAGTGGTGACCCCGACGTGATCTGAACACGCAACCAAACAACCTTAGGAAACTTCAAGCTTCATCCTCGTCATAGAATACCCCACCCATTCGCTCCCGAGCAGATATCGTCTGCAGTCTTCATATCCTGCAAGCCATCTAGCTTCACAAGGTTCATCGCAGCACTGGAATAATAATGCTTCCTGTTCCTTCAAGCTACACACTGCGCTACAGTGTTCGGCACGGCTCTGAGACTTACTACTCGCCTCTGCTTCACGGCACTCTCGCAGATTACTTACCTTCTTCTCGACTCACCGCCGACTACAAGGCAATCTCCTGGAACTTGCACATTCGTCGGCAACGAGGCTGCACTATCGACCTCCGGTCTGAGCAGGGGGGTGATGTAGTGGCGCTGTCGTCGCGCCACTAGCACACCGAAACACACCGAGGCCTAAATCGCGCTATTAACATTCCGAATCACAGACAGTATAATATATAGAACTTCTCCGAACTATCACTCGGAGTGTCGGCCGCTCCCCGGGCAGAACACCTTGCCCGGCGGGAGATCTCCCCTTTTCCTTCATCGGCCACATACGTATATTTTACATAACAGATACATAATTTTATTTTGAGTAGTTTTAATTTAAATTCAATTGATAAATGTATAAATTAACATGTGTTTTTACTTTAAGTTTTTAACACTAAACTTCACTACAGTCAGAAATTTACAGGAAATCAATTTCAGGTAAGTAGGGGGTCTACCCAACACGGAAAAACATGGCAAGGGGTCTACGACACAAAAAAGTTCTACTGAACTCTGCTCTAAACCAAATTTCATTCCAAACAATATTTCGTATTATAATCCTGTAGACAGAATGTGTACTTGTGTGCATTTGTGCACGTTTATATAACGCAATCACATGAACGGAATGTCAAACTGGACTTGATGATTTAGATTATCAATTTAATGTATTCAAGGAAAATATGCAGCTCGTTTTAAACTAAAAATTATACGAGTACGTATCTATTTCAACTTTTCTTTGTTAGTTCATTACGTAAAATATTAATTTTTAATTGAGAAGTGTTGTAAATCGAATATAATTTACGAGTGCCTAAAATAAATGTATAATAATAACAAAATAAATATGGAAAAACGTTTTCAAGCTGACAAACTTTAAATGGACGGCATTATTTTTTGGAAAATTTGAAACTTTGACTTGAATATATGAACACAGAAAATACTCTTACAATTAGGGTATTTAGTTCACTACAATTTCATGATATTCTTTTTAAAAATCTCTTAAGCATTATTTATAGACTAAGGGTAACAAACGAGCACATATTCCACATGACGACAAGTGTATGCGGTAGCACATAGATATCTACAACTATCTTCGATTAAGATTCAAAATGCAGATGCACTGTCACCTCTGAGCACCAAGATGAATGCTTCGTTTCCAGTAAAAAGGGTCTCCTGTGCTCTACAGTCCCTTTACAAAATACAGAAGCAGTTAACGCTACGGTCTCGTAACGCGACGTCCGACTTCAGCGTAAACGTTCCGATCGGCGTCTGAACGCCAGACTCAGCGTCAGCGGTCAATACATATCTTACAAACGCATGACGTCTAGACTTTCGAACGAGCAACAATTAAGTAGCCGATAGTGCTCACGTGTGGTTGTGTGTCATATTTGTACATAAAATGGATATAAATTCAATACTTTTGGGGGCGCTTGTGTTACTTGAAGAAGAGGCATAAGACGACCGTATACGAAGAAAAATAAATGCAACAAGGCACCGATTATTTATGAAGGGATATGAAGAAGGATGTTTCCAGCTATTGATAATAAAGCACTTAAAAGACAGCAATTCTAAATTTACTGAATATTTTCGTATTAATCAGGAACAATTCAAACATAATAATAATACAGTAACTCGTCTTTTTCTTTATTAAATTTTGTCATTTCGTACTGACGACACGACCTTCACGCTACAATGGTTCGAAATAACTATAGACGCAGCGCAAAGCGTCTTAACGCCGCCTACGACGTCCATACGCCGACATCAGCTAGTGAAAGAGACCACAACAGTACATTTCTATAGTAAGCATCGTAACGCGGCGTACGGCGTGACGCTGTCAGCGTCAGGCCGATGGCGTTTATAGGAGACCACCGACAAGCTGCTATTTTACGCCGATATTTTGTTAGAGCGTGGTCCTTCTTCGATCGAGCCCACCCATTTGTGCTTTCATCATAATATAGCAGCAGCATGGCTCTACCAGAAATAAAGTGTTTATATAATCAAGCGAAAATTTTGTATTTCTGTTTTCAGTTCTATATTGGAATTATCGTCAAAACGTGTAGGGGCAGTGTAAAAATATCCCCCCTACCACATAACGTGCCGTGGGTGTCGTAAAAAGCGACGGAGAGAAACAAACCACGAGGTAGCCAGCAGTGTCTTCCTAAAAACTACAAGAAATTGAAGAACCCGACCCAAGCGTGGCAACAATGGAAAATATCCACCCTATGAAACCATCTATGTTCAGCTGTGGACTTTCGATAGGCTATAATGATAATGATGAAGTAATGAAAAAGAAACTTATTTTATGCTCGTTCTTAACAGAAACGGAAGTCTCACAATATTTTGAAGATTGCAAGTAACGTGGTCTTGGCGGATTCATTCAGTGTAGATCCTAAATTTAAATCAATCGCAATTCATAATTTTGAAAGTGAAGTAACTAATGCGAATTTCAACAATCCATTGGAAGTATCACAAATGATCAATAATTGGGTTGCCGCTAAAACAAACAACAAAATTTTGAATCTGTTGACACCAGGTAATTTCTTTAATTTAAAAAAAAATATATTGCCGTTAGCTTGCGGTAGTTTAACGTTTATCTCAAAGCGCACTACTTAACCTGGTCTTTTGATTCACGCATCCAGTTGCTACAATCCTTGCTTGTGTAGATTGTCGCTTTCTTTAATTAGCGTGGCCTCTATTTCATGATATCTGCTCCGACGGTTATCACCTCTGTGACAGACGTTTAAAAGCCCATTCCATAGATATGTACATAAACGGATTTCTCCATTACAAATTAATACGTAAGAGAAAATAAAATTTGAAAGTTATTACTCTATTCATGGAAAAAAATTAGTTATTTTAAACGTATTAATAGCAAAAGTGTATTATAGTTAGGTACCTACATTAGTTTAACATTTAATAGCCAAAAGTGTATTTCTAAATAAAAAGTGTAATAAGGATTATAATTAGTAAAATATATGTTTGCCAGTGTAAATTACATGTTCTTGAGATTGGAAAAAGGGCACATAAAATATTTTTGTTATGAAGTTAAGTCAGAATCAGCGAGATGCGCAATACAAAAGAGGATGTAAACCGTGGCTGTATTTAGCAGTTTCATTCAAAATCTTAAATATTAAAACTTTAAGTGCATCCTTCGACCTAAATTGCAACAAAATGTTATTTAAAGTAAATAAATACTATAGTACCAACGAGCTTGCAGTGCATTTGATATTAAATTACCTCTTTTTATCCACGTACCCGACATCGGAATACAAATAAAAAGAAGGCTAGGTGCGCAATCACTTCCAAAGATTAAGGTGTTTTATATCTAATAGTCTGTTATTATAAGAAACTAGCTGATACTCGCTCGCTTCGCTGGGCGCAAGATAAACGTATGGGACTATCGACATTGCGAAATGAGTAACTATACTAAATTTCAAGTCAATCGGGTGTATCGTTTTAGAGATAACGTGATGAGTCAGTCAGTCAGTCGTTGTTGAAAACTAGAAGTAAGTTTCATTAACTATGCAAAATTTGGCGAAGCTTTTCTTAAGCATTGTATATTTATTCTGTGGTTATAAATAGTAAAGTACTTTATAATAATCAACCAATCACAACCCGCTGCTGAACATTATCTCATCGCCAAAAAAATCTGTGGAGTAGTCTATGATAGAGTAGTTGTAAGTTTCTTTTTGTTTCCAGATACACTTCAACTGGACACTCTAGCAGTCTTGGTAAATGCCATTTACTTTAAAGGAATTTGGGAAACTAAATTTCGTACAGAATTGACAAAACCGAAAACGTTCTATCTCAGCAATGGTTCAAGAAAAGTTGTACCGTTTATGCACGCACGACGAATGTTCCAAACAGATATCGATCCTGAAATTAATAGTAAAGTACTGTTAATACCGTTTGAAGTAAGTTTTTTTCTCTTTGAAATAATTTTTATGCGTTTTTACAAATCCTATTAACACTAATATTAAGCTTATGCTTACACCCAACGATGTTTCAGAACAGTCGCTAAAGGGTAGTAATGAAACTTGGGCACTTAGTTTCTTAATCATTCACCGTGTAGTGGCGGTGTAAGAATATGCACTACCCCATATCATTATGTGAGTGTCGTAATAGGCGATATGGACAGCAGCGTCTTCCTCATAACAACAAAAAAAATGACAGTTGCCTACCCGCTTGCCAAGCGTGAAAATTATGGTAAATATCCCTCCTACAAGGCAATCTATGGGGGGCCCATGTCCAGCTGTGGACTTTTAATGGGCTGTAATGTAATCATTTACACGGATAGCATTAAGCATGTATGAAGGTTCTTTAGTATCATTAATTTTTTTATAAAGTTCATTGCCTAACATTGACTTCAGTCGCAAATTTAATTATTGTATCCGTTTAAAGAAAATAATCTTTTGTTAATTTTTTTTTACTTTGTGTAATGTATCTCTTACTTCCTTAAATAATAATATATATTATTGTTACGCGCTCAAGTCAACGATACACTAGCGCCATCTAGTGTCAGGAACGAGAGCGAGGGGAGCATTGAGAAAATGACATCACAAATCACTCAACCGACAGCGCCTAGTCGAAACTCGAACGCTCGGTACCTTGCGCGTGTTTACTTGAACATTCTGGATATTTCTTTGCTAATTTAAATATATAGGCGCTGCAAGATGCGATGGGAGTAGTGTTGATTTGGCGAAACAAGCGAAGCTTCGGAGCGGAATAAAGTGAATAAGTGTGTTTAATTATTAGTGTTTTTAACTTTAATTTGTGTAAAGTAAATTAAAGTGTTAATTTAGGTAATTTTATCGGCAATTTTTATTGTCACGAACCTCAAGCTCGTAACAATTGGTGTCAGAAGTGGGATAAAATCATGCCGATTTTACCTAAGGAGGAAACGAAGGGTGTCCGTACCCGAAGTCAACGCCAGCAGGAGACGGACCAACGAAGATTTGGTGGTGCAACGCCGCAGACGTCGGAGGGCCAGCCACCGGCTGCAGGCCCGTCGGTAGCTCGCCGACAGGAGGAACAGGCTCGCCGACAGGAGGAACAGGTCCGTCAGTTGAAAGAGCAGCTGCAGAGCGGACAGGAGGAACAGGCCCGCCGATTGGAAGAGCAGCTGCGGGGCGGACAAAAGGAGCAGGCCCGCCGATAGGAGGAACAGGCCCGTCGGTCGGAAGAGCAGATGCTCCTCATTAAGGACCTTCATGCTACCTTTGGGAAAGAGATAAAGGAGGTGAAGGATAAGGTTGCTCAACATGACAACCGCCTGTCGGAAGCTGAAACCCAAATCAAGGAAGCTAAAACCCAAATCGACCAAGTGAACAATCGGGTTGATTACGTGGTGGCTGACGTGAAGAAAACGCTGGACGACCTCAAACTGGGTGATGGAACTACAGCTCCCGTAGTAGCTACTACACCTTCGCTACGTGGGTTCAAAGTGCCACCGTTCGACGGGACTTCTTCCTGGTCAGCCTACAAAATCCAGTTCGAGGCTGTTATGAAAGCGAACGGCTGGAATAAAAGTCAGGCCATGACTGCTCTCACACTAGGCCTGCGCGACCAGGCCTTAACAGTTCTGGAAACTCTCGGTGAGGAAGTGACTTATGAGCAACTCCTTGAGGCATTGGAGGCGAGATATGGCGACGCTCACCTGGAACATGTCTTTCGTGCGCAGCTTAAAGATCGTGTGCAGCGCATCAACGAAAACCTGCAGCAGTGGGCTCTAGAAGTGGAGTAAAAAAAAAAAGTAATGCACTGGAAGTGGAAGCCGTGCGGCAGGATCATCGTTCCCATCGCGTCAGGGAGGTTGCAGCAGCTACAGTTCGCGACCGCAACAAAGGATACAGCCCAAGGTGCTATGGCTGTGGGGAAAAGGGCCATCTTCGATCCAGCTGCCCTAAGCGAACCCTAGAAAGGGAAATTGAACGATCTCAGGAGGGTAGTGCGGCCAACAGCACCGCCCAGCAGCGGCAGGGAAACGAGTAAAAGCCAGAACTGCGGGGCGGGTGCTGGCTGATGTTAAAAGAGCCCCAAGGATCTCGATCTCATAAACCCATGATGGGAACAGCCTAATCATAAAGGGCGAGATCAACGAAATGCCGTGTAAGCTGACCATAGACACTGGAGCCTCTCGTACGGTTGTTAGTTCCCAACTTATAAGTCAGTTCCTTGGGGACTCCGCATAGAACCGAGAACGCATTAATTTGGTAACAGCCACCGGTCAGCGTATACCCGTCCTTGGAGAGAAGGAGATGGAGTTGAAGCTAGGCAACGTGATCTACCTGCATAATGTCATCGTGGCTGATATAATGGACGACTGCATCCTAGGCCTAGACTTTATGAGGAATAATTGTTGTGAGATCGACGTTAAGCAAGGTGTTTTGAAATGTGGACAGGAGGTACTTTTTATGGAAGATGCGTTACCAGGGAACGTGTACAGCATCAAGAAGATTGTTCTTCCGCCGAGATCGGAAATGATTGTTCCGGTTAGTCTTCCTCGAAACGCTGGGCAAACTCACCGTTGTGTACTTGTGGAAAGGGTAAACAATGACCTTCCATGGAAAGTAGCTCGAACCTTGGTCAGGACCACTGACATCTCAGGAGTACGTGTGCTGAACCTTTGCGACCGGGAACAGATTATAGAAAAAGGCACACTGGTTGGTACTTGTGAGGAAGTGGATTGGTTACGTCAGTGCCAATATATATCGAGTGGGACCCCCAGCAAGGATTCAGAAACGAGAGTGACCACACTTTTGGAAGACTGTCGCAGTGTTCTGTCCCCGAACGAATTGGTCAAGGCGAAGAAGTTGTTACTCGAGTACGCCGATGTATTCTCATCAAACGATGCTGACATAGGAAAGACTGGTTTAGTTCAACACAAAATAAACACAGGTGAAGAGTTGCCTATCCGTCAGCGGCCAAGACGATTGCCGGTAGCACGTGAAAAGGAAGTGGAAACCATGATTAAGGGAATGGTGAAGGATGGTGTTATTGAACCTTCATCTAGTCCATGGTGTTCACCCGTGGTACTGGTAAAGAAGAAGGACGGCAGCTTGCGGTTTTGTGTTGACTACCGCCGTCTGAACGATGTTGCTAAGAAGGATAGCTATCCCTTGCCAAGAATTGACGACGCGCTGGACATGCTTACAGGAATAAAGTGGTTTAGCACGCTGGACCTAAAAAGTGGCTACTGGCAAGTTGAAATTGACCCTAAGGACAAGGAGAAAACTGCGTTCTCGACGGGAAAGGGTCTGTGGCAATTTAAAGTAATGCCGTTTGGGTTGTGCAATGCTCCAGCAACGTTTGAAAGGCTGATGGAACTTGTACTTACCGGGCTAATTGGCGACGCCTGTCTGGTCTACTTGGATGACATCATCATCGTGGGCCGTACGTTTGAGGAACACCTTCAAAACTTGGAACGCGTGCTCATAAAGATTAAGAATGCCAACCTCAAGTTGAGTCCGAAGAAATGTTCACTATTCAAACGGCAAGTCAACTTTTTGGGGTATGTAGTGTCGGAAGAAGGTATCCGCACGGATCCAGAGAAAATCGCAGCTATAAAGGATTGGCCGGTTCCAAAAGACAAGACGCAGGTTAGAGCATTTTTGGGTTTGTGCTCCTACTACCGACGTTTTGTGAAGAACTTTGCAGATATAGCCAAACCTCTGCATAAGCTAACCGAGGAGAAGCGACATTTCTGCTGGGATGAAAGTTGTAATATCGCATTCCAGGAGCTCAAGGACCGTCTGTGCAAAACACCTATTTTGGGATACCCTGATGCAAGCAAAGAATTTATAGTTGACACAGACGCAAGTGATATAGGACTTGGCGGTGTGTTGTCTCAACGGAATGGTGACCAAGAGGTCGTGATAGCGTACTTCCGCAAGTCGTTGTCAAAACCGGAAAGGAACTATTGTGTCACAAGACGCGAATTGCTAGCTGTGGTAAAGTCGTTGCAGCATTTTAGCAAATATCTTCTGGGGCGAAAATTTCACTTACGAACTGACCATGCTGCACTAAAATGGCTATTGCAGTTTAAAAATCCAGAAGGACAAGTTGCGAGGTGGATTGAACTACTGCAGGAATACGACTTTGAGATCGAACATCGCAGCGGGAAATCTCATGGCAACGCAGATGCATTATCACGAAGACCTTGTCCTGAAGATTGCAAACATTGTACTAGGCAAGAGAGTAAGGAAGTGGTATCCGTGAGGATGCTCGGGGCAGACCACCTCAGCAACGAGTGGAAGGACAGCTTTCAACGTGCACAGCAGGAAGATCCGGACATCAAGCCGGTCCTGGAATGGATGAAGGCCAGTGCTCCCAAGCCTAAGTGGAGCGACGTCTCAGCAATGAGTTCAACCACTAAAAGCTATTGGGCCCAGTGGAACAGCTTGCTGCTTCAGGGTGGAGTTCTGTGCCGTAAATGGGAAAATGTTCGGGGAGACAGCTGTCATTTACAAATGGTTGTCCCTAAAACTAAAGTACCGGATGTTCTACAGCTATACCATAATGATTATTCAGGAGGCCATCTGGGAGTTAAACGAACTCTACTGAAGGTCCGAGAACAGTTTTACTGGGTCCATTATCGTGACGATGTCGAGGATTGGTGTCGTACATGTACAAGTTGTGCGGCCGTGCGGGAACCTCAGATACGTAGTAGAGGAGCACCGAAATTGTACAATGTTGGTGCACCACGGGATAGGACAGTCCTTGACATTGCGGAGCCGTTACAGAAAGGCGCAAGAGGGACTCCTAAGATCGTCCATGTGAATCGCTTGGCGCGTTATTATGGGGCCGATAATGCTCGGGACGAGCATGTCTTAGGAGGGGGCAGTGTTACGCGCTCAAGTCAACGATACACTAGCGCCATCTAGTGTCAGGAACGAGAGCGAGGGGAGCATTGAGAAAATGACATCACAAATCACTCAACCGACAGCGCCTAGTCGAAACTCGAACGCTCAGTACCTTGCGCGTGTTTACTTGAACATTCTGGATATTTCTTTGCTAATTTAAATATATAGGCGCTGCAAGATGCGATGGGAGTAGTGTTGATTTGGCGAAACAAGCGAAGCTTCGGAACGGAATAAAGTGAATAAGTGTGTTTAATTATTAGTGTTTTAACTTTAATTTGTGTAAAGTAAATTAAAGTGTTAATTTAGGTAATTTTATCGCCAATTTTTATTGTCACGAACCTCAAGCTCGTAACATTATTTTAAGTGCCGCGTTGCTCTAGTGGTAGTGAAGGCGAATGCTACTCATGATGTACCAGGTTCGAGTGTAAGGTCGGGTTAAAATCAGTTATTGTTTTTTTTTTGTCAAGAAATGTAGTAAGAGCAGACAAAAAAGCAAAAGCAAAAGAAATTGCAAAAGCATTAAAATAGTTATTTTTATTCCAAATCAATTTATAGGTCAATTTGATATGTCAAATACAGCTATCTAGCAAAATATGTTTTCAACTTTACAGAAAGCGCAGTATTCCATGATGATTATCCTTCCATTTGAAGGGGTTAATGCTCTCGACGTCCTATCATCGTTAACTGAACAAAAGTTGTATGCTTACCAGACATTTACAGCCAAGGAAGTCCAATTGGAAATTCTGAACTTTGTAAGTAACTTTTCTAAAGGTGGTATGCAAGTTGCGGATAAAAACCAAAAGTGCATCAGTGTCAATTCATAATTTTTATCTAATTGTTTATCCTTTTAATCACCAGGGTTTTATTTGAAAAGGAAAACATAATGACTTGTGATATTTTCTGCCAGTCAGGAGAATAATAAAAGTGTTGGCAGGTGCAGACGATTTACGTAGTATCGTTTTTTTTAAATGAACGGTGAAAAACGTAATGATTTGAAAGTAGATAATGGAAAAATGTTTGAATTCCCAGAATTCACAGTGATAACCTGTGTATTTGATTACAAAACCAAAACTTCATTTATTATCAAATATTTTATCCAAAAAATGTAGTTATGACTGCTCATAAAACGTAAAAGTATTAGAATTTACTTAAAATGTCTGCTACCTTATTTTATCGTATATTAAAACATAGGTAAATATTATTACGAATATACACTTTTTAATTACGTATTATTTGTATAATATAGCCTTAAAATCTATCAATGCTAAATTCAACAACCACTTCAATACAAAAAGTATTAAAATATTGTTTAAAATTTTCTGCTATGTTTCAATCGACTTAAAATTTGGTCTTTTACAGATTGGTATTTGGCGCATATTCAGTAACTAAGCGAACTTAACTGGTATTGGAACGTATCAATGGATAACTCCCCGTATTTCGACGGCAGTCCACAACGCTGTGCTGTCCATTGACGAGCAAGGAGGATCAGCGGCGGCGGCTACTGCCTTCTCCGTGGTTGCGTTATCCAATGATGATTCTGCTATAACTTTCCGTGTAATTAGACCATTTTTGATTGTGCTGTGGGATAGTCAACTCAATGTTCCACTGTTTATGGGCAAAATTGAAGATCCAACGTCATAGATAATGTCATTTAATGGCTCACTCTTTAGGTTAGAAACAATAAATATTAAAAACTGGCTGGCGTAATTTTCTTTTTTGTTGTTGATAAAAAGCAGAGTATTCAGCACTATTATTCAAATTGATGTTTAAAGGTAGGTATAACAAAATAACGCTTAATTTATGCTATAGGTCCAGATATATAGCGTTTGATTTTTTTTTTAACAATATTCTGTTCTCGGGGTTTTTAATTTTTAACATATTCTTTACATAAAATTTGACATTTTGTTCTTATCAAGTAGAACAGATTTGAGTTGCCGCGCATAACAGGCGGATGCAAATGCAAAGAAAAAAAAATTCACATTGCTATAATAATGTCCTCCAGACCGAATTTTGGTCACGGCGGCCAGCCTCAACGGAGACTAGCCATCGGTGCAGGACAGGATTATAGTGCCCAAGTGTATGCGCAAACACAGGTGCACTCTCGATTCCCTCACTCTTATAGTCCGATGGGACGGTAAACTGACACGACCGGAGAGAGATCAGGCGCAGGACCAACGGCTTTACGTGCTTTCCGAGGTGCGGGGGTGAGACACCGCCAAACTTTCCTGACTTCGGGCAGCTACTGAGAATTTCATGACGGAATACCTCCATAAACTGATTTGTTTTGGCCCGACCCAGGACCTCATGATCAGTAGTCGCACTACTACAACCACTAGAAATACGAGGCAGTCAAGTACTTTGCTATATACATATACAATCGTTATTGCCATTATCATCGTCATCATTACGGCCCATCTTAAGTGCACTTTCGAACATAGGTCCACCAAGAATTAAGGTCGTGAGCTACCTGCATTCATCGACTCCCTGCATGTTACATCAGGTTGTCATTACATTGAGTGAGGAGTTTGCACAACACTGTGCTTGATGTACAAGATGATAATTGGCAATGATTTTTCAGAGATAATTATGTAAAGTTACAAAAATGTTTCCGTATCTATTTCGTCTGGAGAACATCCTAACTAAATAATTATATACGCTACGAAGCTAATTGGTTTTGACTTTACAGCCTATTGATATATGCCTCATTATCATTGCTAAGAATCTCCGGTGGAGGTTCGGTTGCCACCTACGACGACTCGACCTGGCAACATTTAACGCACGCACACTGAGGATTGACGAGAAGATCCTGGAGCTGGAAGAAGAGATAGACAAGTTGCGCTGGAGTATTATAGGATTATCCGAGGTCCGAAGAGAGGGGGAGGACACGGTGATTCTCGAATCCGGCAACTTGTTCTATCACCGGGAGGGCGACCATCTGTCCCAAGGAGGTGTCGGATTTATCGTCCACAAGTCTCTCGTCAACAACGTTGTACAGATTGAGAGTGTGTCGACGAGAGTCGCGTACCTGATACTCAGAATCACCAAACGGTATTCGCTGAAGGTCATACAGGTTTACGCACCAACGTCGGCACATTCCGATGAGGAGGTGGAGGAAATGTATGAGGATATTTCCAAAGCCATACATTCCTCCAAAACCCACTACACGGTGTTGATGGGAGACTTCAACGCAAAACTAGGCACAAGAGAAAACGGTGAGCTGAAGTTAGGGAAATTTGGAGTAGGGCAACGGAACCGAAGGGGCCAGCAGCTGGCCGACTTTATGGAGAAAGAGGGACTCTTTATGATGAACTCTTTCTTCCAGAAGCGGCCCCACAGGAAGTGGACCTGGTCGAGCCCCGACGGTTCGACAAAAAATGAGATTGACTTCATTATGACGACCAGACGCCAACTGTTCAGTGATGTCTCAGTGATCGCAAGGGTGAAAACTGGCAGCGATCACCGAATGGTTAGAGGCACACTGAATCTAAACGTTAAGTTGGAGAGGTCTCGTCTAATGAAGTCAACGCTCCGTCCCCCCTCGTGCTCTGATCCAAAATCCCGAAAACTTTCAGCTCGAGTTACACAACCGCTTTCAGTGTCTACAAGATTGCAATGCAGTGGACGATATGAATGACAAGCTCGTGGAAACTGTCCATGCGGTCGGAGCTAAGTTCTGCAAGACCCGCCGCAGAAGAACACAAAAACTCTCCGATCACACTCTTAATCTCATGGCTGTTAGACGGGAGATGAGGCTGCAATCGTCAACAGATTTGACAGCATACAGGCAACTGAACAGACAGATCTCCAAATGCATGCGGCGAGACTTACGCAACTTTAATACTGCTCGTATTAAAGAAGCGATCGAGCGGAACCAGGGCTCCAAAGTCTTTGCCAGAGATCTGTCTGCCAGAAAGAGCCAACTGTCAAGGCTGAAGACTGAGTGTGGCAGCATCGTTTCCGGGACACCTGAGATTTTGAGTGAGATTGAGAGGTTCTATGGGCAGCTGTACACATCATCGTTGGAGCCACACGCAAGTGTGAGTAACGATCCAAGAGCAAGTCTTATCCGACACTATTCCGATGATATCCCGGACGTCAGTCTAAGCGAGATTAGAATGGCTCTCCAGCACCTTAAAAACGGCAGGGCCCCAGGCGAGGATGGAATTACAGCGGAGCTTCTGAAAGCGGGTGGAACACCGGTACTTGAAGTCCTTCAGAAGCTCTTCAATTCCGTCCTCCATGGTGGCACTACTCCAGAGGCGTGGAGCAGAAGTGCGGTGGTCTTGTTCTTTAAGAAAGGCGACAACGCTCTCTTGAAGAACTACAGACCGATTTCCCTTCTGAGCCGCGTCTACGTGCTGTTTTCGAGAGTCATTACGAATCGTCTCGCACGCAGACTCGACGACTTCCAGCCTCCCGAACAAGCCGGTTTCCGAAAAGGCTTCAGTACCATAGACCACATACATACCCTGCGGCAGATTGTACAGAAGACTGAAGAGTACAATTTGCCACTTTGTCTGGCGTATGTGGACTATGAGAAAGCCTTTGATTCCGTCGAAATTTGGGCGGTGCTGCAGTCCCTTCAGCGGTGCCAAGTTGACTGTCGGTATATCGAAGTGCTGAAGTGTTTGTACAGTAGGGCTACGATGGCTATCCGAGTACAGAACCAGAGCTCGAAACCTATCCAACTGCAGAGAGGTGTAAGACAGGGTGACGTTATATCCCCGAAACTCTTCACCGCTGCTTTGGAAGACGTTTTCAAGCTACTGGACTGGAAAGGATACGGTATTAACATCAATGGCGAGTACATCACTCACCTTCGATTTGCCGACGATATAGTCCTTATGGCAGAATCGCTGGAGGACTTAAGCACTATGCTCAATGACCTCAATAGTGCCTCCCAACGGATAGGTCTTAAGATGAACATGGACAAAACAAAGATTATGTTTAATGTCCATGTCACACCTATGCCGGTAGTTGTTGGATGCACTATGCTCGAAGTTGTTGACGAATACGTTTACCTGGGACAAATATTCCGACTAGGTAAGTCCAACTTCGACCGAGAGGTCAATCGACGGATTCAACTCGGCTGGGCAGCGTTCGGGAAATTACGACATATCTTCTCGTCAGGTATACCTCAATCTCTGAAAACTAAAGTGTACAACCAGTGCGTGTTGCCAGTGATGACTTACGGATCAGAGACGTGGTCCTTCACTGCTGGCCGTATGAGGACGCTCAAGGTCGCTCAGCGAGCTATGGAGAGGGCTATGCTCGGAGTTTCTCTGCGTGATAGACTCAGAAATGAGGATATCCGCAGTAAAACCAGATTGACCGACATAGCCCAACGGATTAGTAAGCTGAAGTGGCAATGGGCCGGCCATATAGCTCGAAGAACCGATAACCGATGGGGAAGAAAGGTTCTCGAGTGGCAGCCTCGTACTGGTAGGCGTAGTGTAGGGCGACCCCCCACTAGATGGAGTGACGACCTGGTAAGATATGCAGGAAGTCGATGGATGGAGGTGGCTCAGGACCGTGCTTTGTGGCATTACTTGGGGGAGGCCTATGTTCAGCAGTGGACTTGTGAAGGGCTGTGATGATGATGATGATGATGATGATGATATATGCCTCCGCCTCACAAGAGGCATCCATTCCCAAGAAAGTCTAAATAAAACCATGCATGTAATAAAACCGCTATATTTAATGTTGGATTCTCAAATTATATACTTTTTTCTTTTAAATCTTTTGAATAAGTTGATAACTGGATCATCAGCAAATATTCTCAACTTGTTGGTGTTGTAGAAGTCTTCTATTTCTTATAGGGTTTTTCCTTCTGTTTCCGGTAAGTAAAAGTACAAGTATACTGTTCCAAGGAAACCTAATCCTGAGTAAGTCGCAAAGGCACCCCATAACTTCAAATTGACTTCAAGGTTAATGAAAGTTTTTGAACTTAAGAAAGTAAATATGTAGTTGTTAGCAGCGGCTACACCTTGAGCTGAAGCACGACTCCTAAAAAGAAGAAAGGCGACGTTATTTTAGTTAGTGGATACTGTTTTTTTTTTGTGGCATTACTCTTGACCTTTGAGTATTCAACCAACTGGAGAGGCCAAGCGCGTTAATTCTTAAACAAAAATTCTGTCAACATCAGGGGGGCGCAAGATAAACACACCTGTATACTTAACTACAAATGCAAAATTAAACCGTGTCGATACACTGATCGGTGATAGCGCTGGCTGAATGCGTAAGCAACGTAAGGCATGGAGTATGTCGATATTTTTTATCGATAAACAAATCACCATAGTCCGCACAAGTTTTTATTTGATTATAAGTAATACATAGATAAATAATACCAAGATGTTATTTGAAATTCTTTTTTTAAAGTATTTAAAAATGATCTTCGGAAAAAACTTATAAATTATTGAAAGAAACTTTATTATTTTGCTACAGGTTTATTTTACATTATGCAGGATAAAATTTAAAATATTTAACAAATCAAACTAGGAGGTTTAGTTAACTTATTTCAAAAAATAGATTTATGAAAAGAAAAATCCTATCAGTTTATCATCTCAGATGGTGTTAACCAAGTTTTTGTTTTTATTATAAGGCTGCAATCACAAAACCGCTATTTATAAAAAGTTGTTGAT